AGTAATTTTTTTTAAAAAACAAGAAAAATAAAGTGAAAAAATTATACTTCAGTTTGCACTCAGAGTTCATCAGTTATCTCTCTGGAGCTGGGTAGCATTTTTTCATCATGAGTCTTTGGAATTGTCTTGAATTGTTGCATTGATCAGAGTAGCCAAGTCTTTTACAGTTGGTCATCATTACAATACTGATTTTACCGTGCATAATAACCTCCCAGTTCTTCTCACCTCACTTTGTATAAGTTCATATAGATCTTGTCATGTTTTTCTGAAACCACAACCCTCATCATTTCTTACATTACAATAGTATTCTATCACAATCATGTTCTACAACTTGTTCAGCCATTCCCCAATTGATAGGCATCCCCCCAATTTCCAATTCTTTTCCACCACAAGAAGTGCTGCTACAAATATTTTTGGACGGATAGGTCTTTTTCCCTTCTGATTTCTTTGGGATACAAACATAGTTGTGGTATTTCTGGGTCAAAGGGTATGCAAGTTTTATAGCCCTTTGGTCATTCCAAAATGTTCTCCAGAATGTTGGACCATTTTGCTATTGCACCAGTAGTTCATTAGTAAACCTATTTTTTCCTTATTCTCTCCAGCATTTGTCATTTCTGATAGGTATGAGGTGGTACCTCAGAGTTGTTTTCATTTGCATTTCTCTAATCAATAGTGAAGGGCAGCTAGGTGACTTAATGGATAGAGTATCATGCCTGGAGTCAGGAAGGCCTGAGTTCAAATCCAGCCTCAGATACTTACTAACTGTGTGACCCTGGGCAAGTCACTACATTCTGTTTGCCTCAGTTTCCTCATCTGTAAAATGAGTTGGAGAAAGAGATGGCACATCACTCTAATATTTTTGCCAAGAAAACTTCAAATGGAGTCAGAAAGAGTTGGACACAACTGAACACAATAGAATCAATAGTGGTTTAGAGTATTTTTCATATGACTATAGATAGTTTTGATTTCCTCTTCTAAAAACTGCCTGTTTATATCCTTTGACTATTTATAAATTGGATAATAGCTCTTGTTTTTAGAAATTTAATTCAGTTCTACACTCAGCATATATTAGAGAAATGAGGCCTTTATCAGATAAACTTGCTTTAAATTTTTCATATATTGCTTCATTGTCTATGGTACCTTTTAGCAAGATGTAGTTTCCTTGATTATCACTTTTAATTAGGTCTATTTTTGCTTTTGCTTTGTCTGACATCATGATTGCTACCCCTGACTTTTTTTTTTAGTTTAGCTAAAGGATATTAGATTCTGCTCTAACCCTTTATATTAACTCTGTGTGTGTCTTTCTGTTTCAAGTGTGCCTTTTGTAAACAATATATTGTAGGATTCTGGTTTCTAATCCATTATGCTATTCACTTCCCTCTTATGGGTTATGGGTGCTGTTGATTGAACTTAGTGAATGTGAACTCAGTTTCATTTCTAAGTTCCAGTTTCTATTTAGCAAGCTGTCCAATATTTAACAAGGGAAAGAAGGTAGAGTCTGCATATTATATGTCAGTTAGCTTGTTGACATACATCCCTAATAAAATTCTAGGACGGATTTTTAATTGTAATGGGGATAATTGTATATTTAATTGTATTAGATATGGGCAGGGATTATAATTATGCTTTCATTAATATAGGGATCTCCCAGATGAGGAAACTTCCTCTACCAGTACAGGCCAGCATCTTCTCCAGAACTTACAATATTAAAGCATTGCCTAGAGGGTTAAGTGACTTACCAAGGGTCATACAACCAGTACTTGTCAGAGGAAAGAATGAAACCCGAATCTTCTTGGATCCAAGACTATCTACTATACTATGTTGCATATAGTAAGTCAAGAAATGATCACTACAGGGGCAGCTAGATGCTGCAGTGAATTGAGCACCAGCCTTGGAGTCAGGAGGACCTGAGTTCAAATCTAGCCTTAGACCAAACACATGACACATACTAGCTGTGTGACCCTGGGCATGTCACTTAAGGCCAATTGCCTAAAAAAAATGATCACTACAAGCCAGCAAAAGTTCAATAAGAAGATGTCATGGCAGACTAATTTTATTTCCTTTCTTGACAGAAAAAAATGTCTAGAAGATCAGAGTATTCAATGAACTTAGTCCATATAGATATCAGCAAGGCATTTGATAAAATCATGAGGTCCTTGTGGACAAGATAGAGAGATATAGACCCAATAGTTATGAGTTTGTAACTGATTGACCAATAAGACATAAAGAATTTTGACTAGTAGATCAATCAATGTTAATGTGAGAGGAGATTTCTAGTGAAATACTCCAGCTAGGGCTTTGTCCTGGGGCTAATTCTGTTCAAATTTATTATCAATGACTTAAATCAGGAATGGAATTAGCATCATATACGTGAATGACATAAGTCTGGGAAGGATGACTGATATATTATAAATGAAAAGATCAGCTGTCTAGAAAAAAAAAGCAAGTCTAATAAGATGAAATTTAAGAGACAAATGTAAACTTGGGCTCAAAATTCAGCTAAACAAGCATAGCATAAAGGACTATCTTGATAGCAGCTCATATGAAAAACCATGAGAGCTTCAGTGGAAGATGGAGTCAATATATCAATAGTGTGATATGGATGCCAAAGTATATAAAGTGTTTTAGCCTACATTAATTGAAATATGATAACCAGAGTGAAATATTTTATTCAGAACATTAACAAAATGGAACATGTTCGGAAGAGGGTGAAGGGATGGTGAGGGAAATTGAAAATATTATATAAGGATCCATTCATAAATTTAAAGTCAGGAGGGAGCTTAGAGTTCACCTATGTACATGGATCATAGATTTACAGATCAAGAGGTAGAAGGACCTGAAAAGCCATCTAGCCTAAACCTCTCATTTTACAGATGAGGAAATTGAGGCCCAAGGAAATTAAGTGATTTTCTCCAAGTTTACACAGGTAATAATAAGAAGAATGAGAGCTGAACCCAGATCCTCCGACTCCAGATTCCAGAATGTTGAGACCAGCAACAAAAAGACTTGGGGACAGGGGAGATGGAGGATATGATCACTGTCTTCAAATATCAGAGGGACTTTCATGGAAAATCGATGAGAAATTATCCAACTTGTCCCCAAAGAATTGAACTCTGACTAGGAGATGGAAGTTATATAGGGAAACAAAATTAAGCTTAGTATAATGAAGAACTTTCTAATTGAAGGTGTCAAAAATTGCAATGGGTTGCCTCAATAGGCCAGATGACCAGCAATCAAAGATTTTGTCTAAGGGATTCATGCTTCAGGTAGTACTTGGAGTTTGTTATCTCTGAGGTCTCTTATGACATTATGATTCTATAAGTTTGCACTTCTGTAGGATGGATTTTCTTAAAACAAGACTCACTTGTAAAGGTATAGACAAATCAACATAAATCAACAAAAATATCTTAGAAAGCTTCTAGTCCAATCCACTCATTTTCATATGTGAGGAAACTAAGGCCAAGACATGTCAAATGATTTAACTGAAGTTATATAGATGATAAATAAAAGAACAGAGATTTGAACCTGGATCACCTGACTCGAAATCCAATGATCTCTTTACTGACTCTGGCACAATGGAGTTACTTTCCACATCTTTTAAGCAATTAGAATAATCTCTGCCCAGTCCACTTCATAGGGCTGGTGGCAAGGTTCAATGTTATAAAGAATGTGAAAATGCTTTGAAAAGTGAAATTTCTGTACAAACCTAAGTGATCATCATTGTTACCCTCCCAGTCAGAACTGCTACCTCATCCACTTGCTTTCTCCCTTCTTTATTTTTTCACCACTTCTCTGATTCTTACTGTGTGCTCCTGTCCCCACTTCCCCACCCCTATATACCAACTTCATTGAACAGGATGAGGTGAAGACCATGAAAGTCAGATAGGCAAAGTCAGGATAAACTTAAAGCAACGTAAGGGCAACTTAAAGCATAACAAGAAAATAAATCATAAATGTATGCCTAATAACAAACATGAGGAAGCTGGTAGAGATAGAAAATTTGTCTGGAACTTTCTCCCAGTTCTTAGAAAAGGATAATCACTTTTTAGGGTGATTTTTAAATTTTTATTATTTATTTTTTATTAAGATTCTTTTTTTAAATTTTGAATTCCAAATTGTTGCCCTTCTTTCAGCCCTTCCTCTACCCACTGAGTAGGCAAGCAATATGATATCAACTATGCATGAAGGATAGTCACTTTCCAGTAACAGACAGCCAGGGTTTCATTTTTCTTCTAAAGCCCCATAGCTGAGGCTTTTCTCTCACTACAGCTCAACTCCCTTGGTTCAGTCCCTCCAGTTCCATTGAAAAGCTTCCTGTGGCCAATATAACCCTGCCCAGACCAGTCCAAATTGCGCAATGCCTGACTAAGAGGAATGCTTTGTAAGCTAACATGCAAATACCTCTCCCTTCACATGCTAAAGAGTCAACCAACTCTTTCTGAAGATGGACTTATGAATACATGTAGAGTGATTTCAAGGGTTGTAAGAGTACTATATTGATAACTCATGCAGTAAGTTAGGGAGGCAATGAAGAAAGAGTAATAATGGCTTTGGAGCCAAAGGATGTGAGTTCAAATCCTCTCTCTTATACATCTCACCTGGGAGACCTTGGACCAATCACTTAATCTCTCAGGGCCGTAATCTCAAATATAAAATGAGGCACTTGGATCTGCCCTGAGGTCCTTTCTAGTTTTAGGTCCTATGATCTGATAGCTTCTTTGACCTAAAAGGAAACCAGAGGGAAAGAAGAGGAAAAACATGCAGGGAAATCAGGCTGAATTGTCAGACTAAATTATGCTGTTCTACCTCATCTGCATCCTATCCTTGTAATGGACTATTTTTTAAACTAGAATTTCTTTGATTTTTTTGTACTTTGGCACTCCTTTTTATTTAATAGTTAACTAACAATACATGAGCCAATTCTCCTATCCCTTCCTCCACTTTTTCTTCCCCAAATAAAAGTTCTATTTGCCAGGTATTTCCACAGAATCCTGCCGGATGATAACCCGTCACAGTCCCATCTACCCCTAGGGTTTCCGTGCTCTCCTGGGTTTGCTAGGAACCTCCTGGAATCTTCTGAGGTATTCTCCACTACTGACCAAAGGTACTTTTTTTTCTTTAGGGTCTTTGCAAGTGAGACAGCCAGGTGGGCAGTATCAGCAATTTGGGAGCAAAGGAGCAACCTAACACCAATATTTCCATTTCTTGTCCTACTATCAAGAAAGACCATTAAGCAGGGTTAACTCTTGCACAGGTTGAATGGGGAATAAATGAGATTGTTATAAGAAAGGGCATTTGAATTAACCAAAGTTTTTGATTTGTATGCTGAAACAGATTTGCTCCTGTTTGTGGGACTACTAATAGATTGAGAGAGATCTTAGAGAACATCTAATCCAACCCTCCCCCTCCAATGTTACATCTGAAGAAACTGAGGCCCAGGATCACACAGCCAATAAGTGTCAGCAGCAGAATTTGAACCAGGACTTCCTGACTCCAGGTTCAAGAGTCAAGCCACTATGCCAGACTGCCTCCTCTAAATCATTTCCTCTTTGCTATAGCCTTCTCTAACTATTTCTTTATGCAGAAACCTGGTATGGATATCAGATGGGAAAGGAATAGTAGGAAATGGGAAACAAGGATCACTAATGTCTGGGACATTCATTCATATGTACATGTAGTAGGGTTTTGGGCCATACTTCTGTTACCCTGAGTAAGGCCAATTCAACTCAACAAACATTGAGCACCTGCTAAATACAACACACTATGTAGCCTTGGGAGTATAAAACAAAAATTTAATAGTCCCTGACCTCAAGGACCTTCCATTCCACAAGAAGGATACAGCATGTACAAATAAGTATAGAAAAAGGAAACTTTATGAGGAGAGTGCACCAAGAGTAGAGGGAGAAGGACACACCTAAGCCGAGCTTTGCAAGGAAGATAAGGATTCAGAAGGGCAAAGATGAGCACAGGGGTAGGGACCAGGCTTCTGCAAATGCCTAAAGGAGAGAGATGAAGTGTTGGATTGAAGACAGCTAATAGTACAGGTTAGCTAGAATGTAGAGTAAGAGACAGAGTAGAAAATAATACTGGGAAAGTAGGTGGGAATTAGATGGGGGTGGGCTTTAAATGCAAAGTTCATTAATTTATATTTCATCTTATCATTAATGAGGGCCCTGTGCATCTATTACATACATCTATAGATGAAAATATTGACAGAATCTGGAATTCTATCTGGCAAATTAAGACTTACCTGAGAAAAACCCAATACATTTTCTCTTTGTAAGAGGCACAGATGTCTGGAATGGAGGCAAAAGACTCATTTCATGCAAATGATTGAAGTTGACAACAGATGTATGAATTACACTGTCAAAATTTTGAAATCTTCAGCAGAAGATGATACTGTCTTTACGCGTAGGAAGTTAGCAGAATATTAACTAGTAGTATCATTGTAATTTTATAAACTGAGGACTCCTAGGTTGGACATGGGGATAAAGTGATCATAATTATACGTAAGAAGCAATGGGGTGTAGAAGATAGGAAGTTGCCCTCAAGATTCAGAAAAAACAAAGTTCAGGTCCTGCATGTGGCACACGCTGGCCATTTGACTAAAACCAAACAAATAAGTAGAAGTATATGCACTGTGTTCTTCTCTGGTGTCATAGTCGAACCATTATTTTTATTAAATGGTAATTCCCAGAAAGTCATTCTATGTGGCCTAAACTAACAAATGATTATAATTCACAACAGAAACCATAAATACGATGCTCGTTCAGTGGGGGTATTTAGACCAAGATCAATGAAATGTAGGAAGGGCACAGTCTACATGATACCTAGAGCCTTTGGGGATTCCTCCAGCAATCTGAGATTCTGTCTGCCATCCCAAAAAACAAAAGCACTGTTAACAATGTCCCATGCTGTTTTCTAGACTCAAACTCTCCCAATCTACCTTAGACAAAATTGGGAAGCTAGTGAAATTTGTAATGTGTCGCTGATGACTTAACCTTGAACTGTTACATATAGGTTAAGGTCAGTCAGAAGGAAAGAACATCTTGCTACTAGGATGGGTTTCTAAAGGAACTTACTGGACTTCTTCTAGAGGGCTTGAAAAGATGGACAACCATTATTGGTTTGCCTAAGATAGATGAAGAATAGAGTAGGTCTGTTCAAATGTCAAGAGACAGTATAAATCAGTTCTCTCCAAAGTAGGGACCCAGCTTTGGACCTGGAAGAGGGGGTAAGGGGATGCCAGGACCTGATCTGAGGAGACGTGTGATCAACCAATTGGAAGGTGGGAAGATTGGTCACATCACACTCCCTCTAAGTCAATTATGGAACTTGTTTCCAACACAACCACACATCCCTATTTCCCAACATTCCCTTACTCCTGTTTGTAAAATCCTAGGATCCCCCAGCCCCTTTCAGCCCAGTGTCAGCCTCTCATCTTCAGCAATTGTGCAGGTGCCATTGAGAAAATTCCCCTTCCTAGTAGGCAATGAGTGTACCAGGTCATGCTATGGCCCTGGCCCCAGCCCTTCATAGAGCTAGTGATTCTGGGCAGTGACCAGTGAAAAGCCCCACCTCCCTCCTTTTGGTTTTAAGTGGGATAATGAAAGACACAGGATGAACAGGCATAAGTGAGCTTCAAGAGACTATTACATCTCATTACATTATCTTTCCCCTCAAACACAACCCTCTTCTGAATTTCTCTTGTTTCTGTCAAGGGCAACACACCCTCCTTCTTCTGCTCACCAATGTTTGCAATCTCAGTGTTATCCTCAATTTCTCATTCTGACTCAAACCATGTATCTAATGTTCAAACCACATATCCAATGAGTTGTTCAATCTCATCTTACCTCAGCAACATACTTCACAACCGTGCCCTTCTCTCCTCTCACACAGACACCACCCAAATTCAAACCCTCATCCCTCTCTTCTGTATCATTGCAGTGGATTCCTAATTGGTCGCACTGCCTCAACCCCACCCCTACATCCAACCCATCCTCCAAACAACTGCCAAAATGATTTTCCAAAAGTGTAAGTCACTCCATGTCACTCCCCTATTCCATGAACTCCCATGGTTCCAAATTGATTCTAGGATCAAACATTATTTCATTTTTATCTCATCTTTTTTAATTTCTCTTTTGGGTATTATAAATACCCATATTTATGCACATAAATGCACATAAATAATTTATAGAAGATAAACTTGAGGGGCAGCTAGGTGGCAGTGGATTGAGCACCAGCCCTGAAGTGAGGAGGACCTGAGTTCAAATCTGGCCTCAGAACAAATACTTGACACTTAGTAGCTGTGTGACCCTGGGCAAGTCACTTAACCCAAATTGCCTAAAAAAAAAAAAAGAAAGAAAGAAACTTGGACCTATGATTACATTGATAGAAAAATTCCCAGATGAGGAAATTCCCTCTACCAACACATGTCAGCATAGTTCCCTACAACTTGTAGTGAGAGAGTTACTGAGTCACACAGCCAGTATGTGTCAAAGATGAGACTTGAGCCCAGGTGTTGTTCATTCCAAGGTGAGCTCTCCATCCACTACATCATGCTACTTCATTATAATTTGTAAATAAGTAATGTACATAAATTGGAGGCTCATTTAAAATTTTTAAAAATTATTTTTACTGATTAAGGTGTGTGATCACAAGTTTGGAGACCACTGATCTAAACAACCTATTCTAGAGCTAGGGCCTTAAAATTCAATGAAAGTAATATATAATAATACCCTTGTAGAGGCTCCCCATTTGGAATAAGCAGAGTCAACTTTCCTGACAGGTGTCATAAGTCAAGGACTTGTGTTTTATGAGTAACTCAGATTCACTCTTGCTTGAACCAGTACTTTTGTGTTTCTAAGAAATAATTAACCTGATGGCTGTTTCCTTCTTTGGCAGATAAAGTGGACCTACCTCAAAGAGTGAGCACTTCCTTTGACTCTTTATCTCTGGAACCCTCCTGGTCATGCAGTTGCTAATGAGATCCCAGGTGCTCCGAGGCCTTTGGGTTTCCTGGCCAATCTATGGTTCCCTTCACCCTCATCCTAGGCATCTCCTTGCCCGGCCTTTCTCAAGGACAGAGACACCACAATGGGGAGACTATGAAATCCCCAAAGAATTTAATTTTGCCAGTGATGTGATGGATCACTGGGCACGTATGGAGAAGGTGATGGGGAACTTCTCTGGGGGGGGTGAAGGGAAGGAATTTGAGCTAAAGGGAAATCAGACTGAGCCTAGTCCTTACCATCCACCTATAGTGTACCTATATATCTTCATATACCCTAGCTTCTGGCCTAGGAAGACTATGTCCAGTTTGGTGGTAAATGGCATAAGAAATGGCTATGTGCCTGAAATGCTCTGCCTACAGCCCTGTGTCCTAAGACTAATATAGGGATGCTAAGCCTATCCACAGATAGGTGGGTTGAACAAGAAAGGTCTCTAGAGATGCAGTTGGTACCAAAGTTTTCACATTCCCACTATGTTCTGGAATGGTGAGTCTGATTGGCATTCATTGTATGACTTTTTCCATCCATTCCATTAAGCATCTACTAGATACTGATTGTAGCATTGGATGCAACTGAACAACTAAACAACAACAGGTACTGATTATATTGAACAAATAGAACAGGCATGGTAGCAGCCCACCACGGACCACCAGTCTAATGCAAAAAATGCAGAGGACGAAAGTAGACAATTTTTCACAGATGGAAAGCCAATGTGATAACATTTTTCCTGGTCTACAAAATATTTTATTATTAAAGGTCCTTACTTTTTAAAGCCAATGAACTTAATAAATTGATTGTTCTTTCAATCAATCAAAAATCATTTGTTAAACATTTACTATGTGCTTAGCATTAGTGGCATAGTGATTAGGGAGCCGGGCCTAAAGTCAGGAAGACTCATCTCCCTGAGTTCAGAACTGGCCTTAGCTGTGTGACCCTGTTAGCCTCAGTTTTCTCATCTACTAAAATGAGCTGGAGAAGGAAATGGCACACTACTCCAGTATCTCTGCCAAGAAAACCGCAAATGGGGTCACAAAGAGTCAGACACTACTGAAGTGACTGAACAACAAAGCATTGTATCCAAGACTGGTAACACAGAGAAAAAGGTAAAAACAGTTTCTGCTTTCAAAGAACTCATATTCTCAAGTCAACAACAAGGAACATTTAAGAAATATAAAGAGTAGATAACAACAACAATTATATGATGATAGTAATAATAACTAGCATTTATATAGTGCCCACTATATGCCAGGCACTGTGCTAATCACTTTCCAATTATTATCTCATTTAATCCTCACAACAATCCTGAGATGCTATTACGATTCCTATTTTACAGACAAGGAAACTGGGGCAGACAGAGGTTAAACCCAGGGTCACACAGCTAGTGTCTGAGGCCAGATTTTAACTCAGGCCTTCCTGACTCGAGGCCCAGTGTTCTATCCACTGTGCTACCTAGTTGAATTTACCGGGGCATTCTATAAAACTTTTAAAGAACAATTAATAACAATATTATGCAAATTATTCATAAGATTAAGAAATAAATCACTCTAGCAAAATCCATTTGTGAGAGAAATAGAGTCCTAATATCTAAACCGGGATGGCTAAACCAAAGAAAGAGAGCTAAAAACCAATATAATTAATGACTATTGATTCAAAAATTCTAAATAAAATTCTGACAGAGTAGATGGGAAGTCATCTTGGAGGAGAAGGCACAAACAGCTGCAAGAGAAAAAGTCTCCTACAAAAGGTGAACTTGAAGCAGGGACTTAGAAGGAAGCCAAGGAAACTAAGAGGCAGAGGTGAGGAGAAAGAGAGGGCATTCTAAGCATGGGGTACTACCAAAACAAAAGCACAGAGATGGGAAATGAGGTGTCATGTATCAAGAACATCATAGCTGAATTGTAGAGTGAATAAAGAGGAATAATGAATAAGAAGACTGGAAAGGTAGGAAGGAGTCAGGTTATGAAGTGCTTTAACTACAAAAAGACCTAATATTTTATCCTGAAAGTAATCGGGAGACACTGGCATTTTTAAGCAAAGGAATAACATGGTTGGACCTATATTTGCTTTAGGAGAATCACTTTGGCAATTGAGTAGAGGCTGGATTGAAGGCAGGGAAACCAAATGCAAGGCTATTGCAATAGACTAGATGAGAGGCAATGGGCATCTGGGTCTGTAAACACCTGTTTTAACCATGTGGTTTTGACCACAGGAGGGCAAAAGAGACCCACTCCCTGCCCTGTGGTGGGTGAATGACAAAGGGGATGAAGTGAAATGGAACTTCCAGGAACTGGGTGACTTGACCCGACAGGCAGCCAACGTTTTAACGGAGACCTGCGGCCTGCAGAGGGGAGACCGAGTAGTGGTAATCCTGCCCCGGATTCCTGACTTGTGGCTGGTGACAGTGGGCTGTATGCGGGCAGGTCAGTGATCAAGTTTTCCCCAGGAAACAAATCTCATCAGTTATAGGCAAGGGTTTCATGATGCTCTTTGTCACAAGCACCCTCAGCCCCAGCTCATCCAACAATGTATTTCCAATCACTGTAGGAAAATAATTTTTTTTTTTGGCTAGGCAGTGGGGTTAAATGACTTGCCCAGGGTCACACAGCTAATAAGGGTTATGTGTCTGAGACCAGATTTGAACTCAGGTACTCCTGAATCCAGGGCCAGTGCTCTACCCACTGTGCCACCTAGCTGCCCCCTGGAAAAGCATTTTTAAAAATATAAACTTTAACCAAATGAAGGGAAATAATATATGAAATTGAGTAGTTCCTAAAATATGATGAGAGAAAAGTAAAAGAACCTCAAGTCATTGAAAATCTTGACTTAGTAATACTCCAGAAATTATACCTAATAAAGAGATCATCAAAAATGCACTGAAGTCTCAAATGATTTTTTTAAACGGATATGCTAACCTCAGAATAATGAAGAAAAAGAGACCTCTTTTAGAGTTTGACAACATGAATCCAACCAGTAAACCAATACTCTATACCAAAGGAAAGGAATTTAAAAATTTTTTTCAGTCGACAAAAATCTGTCTTTTCTCCCTTTCACCTCCCCACCAGAGTGAAAGAAAAACAAAAGCCATGTTACAAACAAATGTTGTTGATCAAGAAAAACAAATTTCATATTGCCCATGTCCAAAATGAAAGAGAGAGAAAGAAAGACAGAGATAAGATCATTATATACTCTGACTCTTTTACCTCAAGGAGACTAATTTTTAAAAGCTAGTATCAGTTATAGCCATCATGAGTGAATGCATTGTGCCTTAGTATTTGACAGAAAGTGTGAAAACATTTCAAGACCAGAATACAACAATATGTATTATCACAGTAAAAGCCATTGGACGAGAGGGGAAGCCACTAAATGCAGGCATCAAACCCCATCATGGCAGAAGATCATTGACTTGAGAAGATCATTGACACCCAATTAAAAACTCGAACACCATTTTGCCCAATTAAAGTAATTTGAAAAGTAACATGAAGAAAAGTATCTAGAGAGTAAAGGCATTTTAGAAATTCTAGCTTCCCTTAATCAGCAACTGGAAATAAAAGTCAAGAGGTTAAAGCCATGTAAGGAGTCAAAGCAGAGGAGGCTAGAATTATACATCAGAAGTTCCCTCTCTTTCATAGACTCAGAGGTGACAAAGCCCTGTACAAGTTGTTGTTGCTGCTGTTCAGTCGTGTCTGACTCTTCATGACCCTATTTGGGGTTTTGGTTTTTTTTTTTGGCAAAGATACCAGGGTGATTTGCCATTTTCTTCTCCAGATCATTTTTGTAGATGAAGAAACTGAGGCAAACGGTTAAATGACTTGATCAGGGTCACACAGCTAATAAGTATCAGGTGCAATTTGAACTCAGTTCTTCCTGACTCTAGGCCTGGCACTCTATCAACTACATCATCTAACTGTCTGTACTAGCACAGACTTCAAAATAACTTGGAGAATTCAATCAATAAACTATATTGGAACCAGATCATTATCTCAATGTGAACTCTTGCCTATAATCACTGAGATATAACAATGATATACAGAAATTTAAGTGCTACATTTTGATAGATTATCACCATTCCAAATACTCATAATCAAGCTACATGGAGCGAAAAGATTTTAAAGTATGGAGGTCTAAGAAGATCAAAACATTTGGGAATAGGGTGAGATATATATCATCCCCATCATCTATCTGCTGCCAGAGTTATATCAAGGATGTTTTCAGTGTGCCTACAGAGGGGAAACTAGCGTCCTAATGCTTTTATTCAACTGCAAAAGGCAGTTATTTTCCCACCTGTGCAATAGTCTGTAGAATATTAAATATAAGGGAATAAGAGCCAGATAGCAATTGTCAGAGACTTACTAGCTGTGGAACCTGGGGCAAGTCACTTAACCCTTTTTGCCACTCCAGTATCTTTGACCCCAAATGGGGGTATGAAGAGATAGACACAACTGAACAAGTTCACATAGGGCAGCTAGGTGGCACAGTGGATAGAGTGCCAGGCCTGGAGTCAGGAATACTTCTCTTCCTAAGTTCAAATCCATATAACTATATAATAACTAGCATTTATATAACACTTACTATGTATCAGGCAATGGTGTTAAACAACAATCCAGGGAGGTAGGTGTTTTTATTATTTTCACTTTACAGAAACTATGGCAAAAAGGCATTAAGTGACTTGCCCAGCGTCACACAGTTAAGTGTCTGAGGCCATATTTGAACTCAGGTCTTCCTGACTCCAGGCATGCACTCTATCCACTGTACCACCATCATCTATAAAATAGGAAGAGTGATACTTGGCATAGGATTGTTATAAGGATCAAATAAGGTATTAATTGGAAAGTGCTTAACACCATCACCTGGCACATTCTAAGTGTTATATAAAAGTTAGCTACTATTAATTGGGCATCTAGGTAACGCAGTGGCTAGAATGGTTGGCCTGGAATCAGGAAGGCTCATCGTCCTGAGCTCAAATCCAGCCTCAGACACTTACTAGCTGTGTGACCCTGGGCAAATCATTTAACCCTGTTTGCCTCAGTTTCCTCATCTGTAAAATGAACTGGAGAAGGATATGGTAAACCACTCTAGTATCTTTGCCAAGAAAACACCAAATGGGGCCGTGAAGTGTCATATACAACTGAATAACAGCAAATTATTAATTATGAAGAGCCTGGAGCAGAGGGCAGTGAAATGATTTGACCAAGTTCACATAGTCTGTGAACAATCAGGATTTTAACCAGGCCTCTGACTCCACATCCAATACTCTTCACCGTACCACAAACTCTTTAGCCTAGTATTCAATGCTCTTCATGATTTATCTCAATCTACCTTTCCAAATTTATCTCTTACTAATCTCCTGCATGACCTTTTTCTCCAAACAAATTGGGCTCCTCATAATCTCAAACATATCCAGTTCATTCCCTCTTCTGCCTATCAGAATCCTATTCACGTTTCAACACCCAACTCATGGTTACCTCCTCTGAGAAGTACTTCTTGACTGCTCCAAATCACTGTGGTTTCTCTCTCTCTCTTCTGAACCTTATAGTCCTTCTTGTCTATAGCATTCATTAGATATTTTGGATCATTGAATCTTAGGATTAAAGGCTGGAAGGAACTGTTTAATTAAACCCCCTCCTTAAAAAGATGAGAAAACTGAGATCTAGGGATGTGAGGTGACTTGTTCAAGGTCACACAGGAAGTAAGGGGTGTAGCCAAGATTTGAAACCAGGTCTTTGGACTCCAAATCCAGTATTCTTTTCATTATGCCTCCCTTTGAGTTTGGTTTTCAAAATGTTCCTGTTTTATAAAACAAGGCACAATTCAATCAACAAACATTTTACTAAGGACATACTGTATGCCAAGCGCTGTTCTGCATGCTCTGAATAGGAAGACAAAAACAAATCCAGAAGATCCCAGAAGCCTGAGAAACTTGCTAGCAAGCAAGCAAGCTTGCGTTTATCTGGTGTCTATGACTATTATCAATGAGCTTTTAACCAGGAAGCATGGCCTGAGGGAAGTGGGATATGAAAAACTTAAGGGAAAGTGTGCTGGGCTAGGTTGGATAGATTTGGATTAATAATACCTGACATTTGTATGGTACTTTACATGCATTATCTCATTGGAAGCTCACAAAGAATCTTGTGAGGTAGATACTATGAGCATTATTATCCCCATTTTGCAGATGAGAAAATTAAGGCTTAGAGAGGTTAAGAGGTCACATATTTTCACAAGTGTCAGAGATGATCAAACCCTGATCTTCCTGAAACCAAGTTCAGTATTTTATCCACTATATTCTAAACTTTCCTCTGTCACAAACTCATTGGGTTGATCATTTCCCTCCTCTGGGTCTACTGGAAAATGAGAGTGTTAGTTAAGTTCTCTTACAGATCTAAAAATCCTATGATGTTTATTTTGCTCAGGTCTTGTCTTCCTACCTGGAACGATCCAGTTGACAGCCAGAGACATCCTCTACCGGCTGCAGTCATCAAAAGCCGAATGCGTTGTGACCAATGAAACCTTGGCCCCGGCCGTGGATTCTGTGGCATCTGACTGCCCCCGGCTGAAAATCAAGCTTCTAGTATCCGAGAATAACCACGATGGGTGGCTGGACTTTAAGACACTGCTTAAGTGAGTCTATGATCCTCCTATCATGATTGTGGGAGCTCTGGGAAACTTGAAGGTCTCTTCCCAAGTGCTAAGAAGCAGTATGGTGTCATTGAAAAAATCCTGGACTAAGTGTCAAAAGGCTTAAATTAAAGTACCAAATTTTCTATGACTAACTGTATGACACTAGGCACACCACTTCCTCTCTGTTTCCTCATGAGGGGTCTATATTCTACTCCAAGGTCCCTTTAAACTCTAAATTTCCTAATTCTTTAAACCTGCAGTGTCTAACAATGTAGAGTTGTATCTAGGGCAGGTAACTGGGGCTTTGCCTCTGGGCATGAAAATTTAAAGGGTGCTGACAACATTTACAATCCTACAATTAGCAAGAATACTTATTTAACATGCAAAGCTACTAGACATCATGTTTTCCACCAGGCCTCCAACTGGTGCAAGGAAGGGGAGTCCTCCCTGGATTGACCCCACCCTTCCCTCTCTCCCTGCAGAAGGCCCCTCAGTAGCAGCCTAGGTTCCAAGGGTTCTATCTCCCTATCAGAAGGCAGTGGGCCAGGGTCTCTCCCTCCAGGGTCCCTTTCAAAGATCTGATGTTATTCTCCTTAGTCTCTCTTCCCCTACCAACCGACTTTGTCTTAAAAAATTTATTTGGGGGCCTTTTTATGCTCCTTGCCCAGGGTACCCTAGAATTGCTAGTTACTGCATTGAACATTTTGGAGATTCTTAGCAAAAGAAGAAAAAAATGTTTAACTTGATTCACTAGTACACATCAACTTGTAAGCTACTAGGGCATGACCCCTAACCTGCTAATATTTGTACACTGTGTGAGTGATTGTTACCAGGTGTCATCCTAGGAGGTTTTTATTAATTAGTCATTATAATTGAAGGTAAATGTAATGAGGTGGTATAATGGATAGAGTGCCTGGCCCGGGGTCAGGAAGACTCATCTTCCTGAGTTCAAATGTGGTCTCAGACATTTAGTCTCTGTGTGACCCTGGGCAAGTCATTTAATCCTATTTGCCTCAGTTTCCTCATCTATAAAACAAGCTGCAGTAGGAAATGTCAAACCACTCCAGTTTCATTGCCAAGAAAACCCCAAATGGGATCACAAAGTTGTACATGACTAAAACAACTAAACAACAGCAAAAAATGTAATAAATAACCCATATGATTAAATTCACAGAGCCTGCATGCCTATGAATTTCTATTCATGTGCTTATCTTGGAAAAATGTGGGTATCTATCCTCTAAATCATAGGATCATAGAATCAGAACTGAAAAGTAGGTAGCAAAGCCAAGACTTGAAATCAGGTCCTCTGACTGCAAATCCAGCCTTCTTTCCACAATACCACATTTCCCCTCAATCTTTTGGGATTTTTCAGTTTACCCATTTGTTCAAGTACAGGACTCCCTGGCACAAGAGCCAGTGGACATTTTTTAAAAAAAAACTTTTTGATAAGTATTTAATTATAATTGGGCTCCTCTGTGATCCTATGTATTTTATTCTATGTATTTAAAACCATTATTTTTGAGAATTCTATTCAATAAACACTTATTAAGCAACTACTGTGTTTCAGGAATTATGTTAAGCACACTGGGGATTTTGTTGTTGTTCAGTCTTTTTCCATCATGTCTGGCTCTTTGGGACCCCATTTGGGGTTTTCTTGACAAAGATACTGGAGTGGTTTGACATTTCCTTCTCCAGATCTTTTTACAGATGAAGACACTGAGGCAAACAAGGTTAACTGACTTGCCCAGGGTCACATAGCTAGTAAGTGTCAGAGGTTAGATTTGAACTCAGGAAGATGAATCTTCCTGACTCCAGGCCTGGCATTCTATCCACTGCACAATCTAGCTGCCCATATCCATGCTCTAGTACCCATTTTATTCCTCTCAAGATGATGCAGAACAATGAAGCTAATGACTGTCATTTCATCTCAAATGCCTTACAGAGCCGCATCTGTGGACCACGCTTGTGTAAAGACAAAAATGCAAGAGCCTATGACTATCTTCTTCTCCAGTGGAACCACAGGCCCTCCCAAGATGGTCATGCATACCCCTGAGCTTGCACTGAGATCATGCCTCCCATCCACGTAAGGGAAAGTTAGGGGGCAGTGAAGGGGACAGCAAGGAGACCCTCTTAGAGCCCAGGCCATGGACCCTAGGCTTAAACCAAGGCAGGCCTAATGAAAATCATATCTAAAACAATATGAATTAATTATGCTTCTCCCCTGGTTCCCTTCAGCTGCATTTTTCCTAGTGTTTTTGTGCCTAGAAGTGAATGTTTAATCTTTGCTGAAGCTAGAACCTATAAGAGCTTGGAGCCCAAGGTTGGAGGAAAAGTCTGGGAAGAGAAAGTTGAGATGTAGCAACATGGGTGAGGTTGGAATGAATTTTACAAGCCAGGTACAGTGTTTTCAAACTGGATAATATTGATTAAAACAGTCTATAAAACTTCACCTGTTCCCTGATTAAAGGCCATTCCCTGGTATTTTGATGAGTTTATTTTCCAGTGATTGAACCAAAGCCTCAAAAAAAGTATCAGACCTGAATTTCCATTTCATTCATGTCCCTGTCCCACCTTCAGCAGGCATTCCACCATTCCTCATTGTTTCACGGAAGGAACCAAAGAAAGACATTTGACTATACCTCACAACTCCTTCTTTATTCCCTATTATTGGGGCAAAAGCCTTATCTTCATGAGTCAAAGACAACCCATTAGTATAAAGCAAGACCCTCAGAAAAGGTTTGATGATGGTACCAGCAAGTTAGAGAGAAGGTAAAACTCATTCTGGTTCTTCAACACCACCACCCCTATCTCCCCCAGTGATGTCTCTGTGCTCCTTGTCACTATTTGGACAAAGGCAATACAGAGCACCATTCCCCCTGTCACCCAGGATCAAAAGTTCTGTGTTATCTTTGACTTTTGTCTCTACCTACCATCCCCATGACCAAACAGTCACCGTGTCCTCGTTGAGTTAGCCACCATAGTATCTCTCACATCTATCACTTCCTCTGCATTCCCACTGCCATTAATACAGCATGGTACTAATTTCCTCTTCCTTGGACTACTGAAATAGGCTCCTAAACAGCCTTCCTCAAACACTAACATTTGTATTTTGGAGTTAGCAGGCAAGTCAAGAAACTTACAAGTTCTGATGTCTCATGGTGCGTGTCAGACCCTGGCTGGATTCTTTCACTTCTGGAATCAGCACTAGAACCTTGGAACATAGGAGCCTGCAGCTTCATCCATCACATGCCCCAGTTCAACCCTGAGACCATTTTAAAGGTAAGAAGAATAAAACTTCACCCTAACTGACCCACTACCACCCCATGTAGTTCAGTGAACTAACACATCCCTTGGAGCCAGAGATAGTTGTTCTATCATTTTTCAGTTGTGTCTGACTCTACATGACCCCTTTTGGGGTTTTCTTGGCAAAGATACTGGAGTGGTTTGCCCTTTATTTCTCCAGCTCTTTTTACATATGGGGAAACTGAGGCAAACAGGGTAAAGTGACTTGCCCAGGGTCACACAGCTAGTAAGTGTCTGAGGCCAGATTTGAACTCATGAAGATGTGTCTTCCTGACTCCAAATCGAGTGTTTTATCCACCATGCCACCTAGCTGTGCTGGAAGCCAGAGGACATGGGTTCAAATCCCAGTTCTGCCACTGGGTCTCACTTCCTCATCTAGAAAATGAAGACAATAGACTAGATGGCCTCTAAGTTCCTTTCTAGCTTTTCATCTACTACCCTGTTATCTTACCATTAGCATACAGGGACTTGAATTTGAATCTTTGCTGCCCTTACGACATTAAGCAAGTCATTTCACTTATGTGTAATTCAGTAACCAGGATGAATGGGTGTTCAGAGAAGACTAGCACCTCTGGTGTGAGGGCCTTTTTCAAGGACGCTTTCCACCTTTGGTGTTCCTCTGATTTACTCAACTCCTACAGTGTGACTCTAAGACGCTCTAGCATGTGCAGTGGCCACACCCCACTAAACCATTTCAGCAGATGGGCTAAACTAGGTTGAGGGTAATCAAGGGGTCTCAAACCCATCAGTGAATTAGGAGGGTGTCTATCCCAAGTACTGAAGACTTTCCCTGGAAGAACGGTTGATAAGAACAATTTGTTCCTGTGGCCTTGAAGGAGGCTGAAACAGGCACTGTGGCCAAGCTTAAGTCTGGTCAGACACGAAAGACCCCCAAGCTCATCCACTGCATCCCAAGGCCATCACCAGTCATCTTGACTATTGTCTTGCCACTGGACTACAACGACTCTGGGAGAGAGTGAGGTCAATGACTTCACATAACTGCCTCATCTAAATATAATTTATGCATGAGTCAAAAGACATCAGCCATACCATTTAACCATTTTTACCTACCTCAAAGTCCTATGGCAACAGGCAAATGATGAAGCAGTGGTACAAATACACTGGGAGCTGTATTCATAAAACTGCACACAGGCAGCTTAGGCCATAGGGTCATCTTCTCACTGGACTGAAACAGCAGTGGAATTCAGCAGCCCCCTGGGTATCTAAGCAGCCTTTTTTAAGGCCCACACTGCTTGCCTCCTGACATAAGAAAGGGGCTAGAAAAGGTGCCCTAAAAACTGTCTGTTTCACTCAACCCTAGCCTGCTTACCATGGCAAGCAGGAATCCCACCCTGCAGTCAAGATTCAAAAATACATACAAAATCTTTTGTGAAAATGATTCCACTCACCATCATTACATGGAATGTGCACACACTTATGGACAACATGCAATATAGTAGACCTGAAAGACAAACAGTTCTTGTGAAAACTCAATAGGTATTGCATCTAAATAGCAGCCCTGAGTGAAACAAGGTTAGTAAATGAAGGCCAGCTTACTAAAGTTGGAGATGGATACATGTTCTTTTGGAGTGACTGCAGTGATGGGGAGCACCGTAAAGCTGGTGTAGGTTTTGCAATCAAAACTAATCAGAAAGTTTGTATGCCTCCTAAAAGGAGTGAATTAACAGGCTCATGACAATGAGCTTACCATGTGCAAGAAAGTGCCATGCCACCATCATCAGCTCCCACCATGATGAGCCCAGATGAGGTCAAAGAAAAAGTTTATGAAGACCTGGAGACCCTCATCATCAATGCTCCAAAAGAGGACAAGCTTGTAATTCTGGGTGACTTTAACACCAGAGTAGGCATAGACTATCAAACATGGCAGGGAGTCCTTGGGAGGAATAGAGTTTGAAACAGCAACAGCAACATTCACTTACTGCTGAAGACTTGTGTCTCATGCTCTGTTCTTCACAAACACTGTCTTCTGTTTATCTAAATACAATAAAACTTCATGAATGAACCCTCGCAGCAAACTGGCATTTAATAAACTATGTCATTATAAGAAGAAGAGACAGACAGGATAGGAGAATGATGAAGGCAATGTGTGACAGAGTGCTGGACTGATCAAAGACTTATCCTTTCCAAGCTAAACATTCTCATTCAACAAAAGCAGTGGCTCCAAGGCAAGATGACTACCAGCAGATTTAATGTCAACAGATTAGAGCATTTCTCTGAGCACAAACAGTTCATTCCTAACTTGGAGGGAAAGCTGAGCCAACATAAAATTGGAAATAGTACAGCAGAAAAGGAGTGGACAGCTTTCAGAGATTTGATGTACAGAATTATATTTACTCATCTGTGCCAGAACATTCACAAAAATCAAGATTGGTTTGATGAAGATGATGGGGAAATTCAAAAGATGCTAAATGAAAAACAGAACTCCACAGGATTTACCAGCAGGATAGTTCATTCATCTCTAAGAAGGCAGTGTTTAACTCCATCAAAAGTAAAGTGCAAGCAAAGCTTAGAGAGACGCAGGATTCTTGGCTCAATAAGAAGGCAGATGAAATTCAGTTTTTTGTAGATAGTAACAATTCAAAGCACTTTTATGATGCCTTGAAGCCTGTTTATGGGCCAAAGACCTATGGTACATCTCAACTACTCAGTGCTGATGGAGCCACATTGCTAATGACAAGGACATGATACTGAAGAGATTGGCTTCCACAGTATTCTCAACAGACCATCATTAATCAGTGCTGAAGCCACTGACCTCAGGTTGAAGTCAGTCCCTCTCTAGTCAAACTTCTAGATGAAGAAGAAGTTTTGAATGCCACTAGGCTCCTCTCATGAGGCAAAGCATCTGGTGCTTATTCTATGCCAGCTAAGATTTACAAGGTAGGGGGTCTGCCATTCATACAAAAGTTGACTGAAATTTTCTGGGTTATGTGGCAAGAGGTGGTTTTCCCTTAGGAGTTCAAGGATGGCTCCATTGTCTATCTCCATAAAGGTAAAGTAAATAGGTTGTCCTGTGACAATCACAAGAAAGTTTCTCTCTTAGTCATTGCTGCCAAGATTCTTGCCAGAGTCTTCCTTATTAGGCTGATCCTTCACCTGGAAGATGGTCACCTACCTGAAAGCCACTGTGGCTTCAGAAAGGGCTGAAGAATGGTTGATATGGTGTTTGCTTCCCAACAACTCCGGGAAAAATGCCAGGACAAGAACAAAGGTCTGTATACAACATTCATTGATAAGGCCTTTGATACTGTCAGTCATAAAAATCATGGCAAAATTTGGTTGTCTAAAGAAGTTCATCAGTATCGTATGTCAGTTTCATAATGTCATGCATGCTTTTGATTATGGATGATGTTCTCACACTTTCCCAATCACCAATGGAATGAAGTAGGGCTATGTGTTTGCTCCCATGCTTTATATCATGCTGTTTCAGCCATGTTGTCAGACACCTTCAAAGGAGACGAAAACGACATCAAGGTCAACTACCACACTGATGGTAAATTATTTAACTTGAAAAGCCAAGACTAAAGTATAGGAAGAGTTGGTCTGTGACTTTTTGTTTGCAAATGATTGTGCACTCAATGAAATCTCTGAAAAAATGATTATCCAGTCTTTACTTGGAGACCTCCAAGGAAGGGGAAACCATCAGTTCTTGAGGCAGCCTATTCTACTTTGGGACAGCTTTAATTGTGAGTAAATTTTTTTTCTGAAATCAAGTCTATTTTTGTCTCATTGTGTCTTTTACCTACTGTTCCCGGTTCTGCCTTCAGGGGCCAAACGAAACAAGTCTGCTTCTCTTTCCACCTAACAGTTCTTCAAACACTTGATCACGGGTATTATATGTCCCCTGAGTATTTTCTTCTTTTTTCTAAAAACCTCTAGTTTCCAGGGGCAGCTAGGTGGTGCAGTGGATAGAGCACTGGCCCTGGATTCAGGAGGACCTGAGTTCAAATTCGACCTCAGACACAAAACACGTACTAGCTGTGTGACCCTGGGCAAGTCACTTAACCCCATTGCCTAGCCAAAAAAAGTTATTAATAATAATAATAACAATAATTATAAACCTCTAGTTTCTTCAACTGATTCTCATATGACCTAGACTCAAGGCCCTTTATCACTTTGCTTGCTTCCTCTGGACACACTCCAGCTATGGTTCCATGTATGGATGATGTGGTGGTGGCTGGTGGAAAACCTCTGTTTTTTGGTGATAATTGTTAGGCCAAAACTGGCATAAGCAGCAGATGATTGATCCATACTTTGCTGCATCTCAGCCTCAGAGACTTCATTGTTTCCCCTTCACAGCAACAATAGCAGTGGGTTTTTTTTAGTTTTCTGTTTTCAATTTTAAGAAGCTTATCTTATGCCATAATCTAGAGTCAGGATCCTTAATTTTTTTTTGGTATCTTGAGAAGTCTGATATGGACCCCTTCTCAGAAAAATGTTTTTAAATGCATAAGATAAAATACAAAGAGTTACAAAGGAAATCAAGTATATTGAAATATAGGTATCAAAATATATATATATACAGTGCACATACACATTGTTATTATATATAATATAAAAATACAGAAATTATATTGTATTATAGTGTGTGTAATATCATCATATAATAATATATAATGTGATATAATATGTAAAAAGCAATATAGTATAATACAATATAGTACGGTATATTATTTTATAATTATTTATTAATGTAATATTTTGGTAATATAATACATTATAATATTATGTGAATAAAAATATATCTGATAAATATATTCTATATAATTTTTAAAGTGTATGTTTTTATGTGTGTGTGTATGTATTCACAGATGTCTAATTTAAGAACCCTTGTATAAAAGAATCAATAACAACACCTTTAGCTGGTTGGCCAGTTTTCAAGATCTTCCTGAGTTAGACACTAGCCTTCTTTTCAAACTTTAACCAGTAAAATCAGAATACTCACCATTCTTCAGATATTCCTTGTGCTTTTCCTCCTCAGCGTCTTTGCTTATGCCAGGGGCCTATACAATTCCTACCCATCCTTCAAGGTCCAGCTTTAATACTGCTGCCTCTATAAAGCCTTCCTACCATAAGAAATCTCTCCCTCCTATGAACTCCCATAAGCATTTTGTTTGCACCTTTCCTACAGATTCTTCATATTCTATTTGGTAATTTCTTTTTATAAACACCAGCTCCTGGCACACTGTAAATGTCACTCCGTAAATATTATATCTGTAAATGAGCTGTACTAAAATGTAAGCTTCATGAGAGTAAGGACTGTTTGTTTTAGTTTTATACTCCTAGTATCTTGAGCTTAATAGGTTCTTTTTTTTTTTTACATAGCTTTTTTGGATATCTAATGTTCTTTGTTTTTTTTATCAACAGTTTCCCCTAATATCTCTTCCTCTTCTCCTCTGAGGGGATCATTTCATATAACAAATAACATTTTTTAAGGATAAAAAAGGTAAAATTGATCAATACATCAAAAAAGTCTGAAAATTTGTTCAATGTGCAACACTTTTGGACCTCCCATCTCAAAAAAAAAGGGCAGGGTAAAAGTGTCTTCTCCTATCTCTCCTTTTGAGCCATGCTTATTCTTTATAATTTTGCAACATTCACTTTTGATTTCTCTGTGTGGTTTTTTTTTCATTTACATTATCATAGTCATTGTGTGTATTGTTTTATTAGCTACTTACTTTTCTCTGCATCAGTTCATGTAGATCTTCCCATACTTATCTGTATTCATCATTTCTTAGAACATAGTACTATTCTTTTACACTCATGTGTCACAATTTGTTTAGCCATTCCCCAATCAATGGGCATCTACTTTGTAATTCTTTGCTATCACAAAAAAAAAATGCTGCTACATGTATACTGGTATATACAGGAGTTTTTTTCTTATCAATTGCCTTCTTGGGGTATGCCTGAGTTAAAGACTATGAACATCTTAGTTATTTTATTTGCTTAATTTCAAATTGGTTTCTAAAATGATTATATGATTTACAATCCCACCAACAATACACCAATATGCCTATGTTCCCATTATCCCTCCAACACTGACTATTCTCATATTTTATCATCTTTGCCAATTTGCAGGGTGTGAGGTGAAACCTGAGAGCTAATTTTAATTTTCCTTATTAGTGATTAACTTTTTAGGTTATTAATAAGTATTTAAGTTAAGATGAATGAATGAATTGATTGATTAATGAAGAATGAATAAATCTCATGGGAAAGAAATTGGGACTCTGGTAATTGAACAGTGTTCCTGCTTTTGGGGAAAAAAAGTAATTTTCTTTTTTCATTTGCCAGACTCTTTCCAGATACCCCATCACTTGCATGATAGCTGCCCCATCAGTATATCGAATGCTTCTACAGTTCGATGTTTCCAGGTATAATTGGAGGACCCAGTAGCCACACTCATCCAGTTGACTCTGATCTTTTTTCCCTTGGCACTTGGAGTAGTTTTTAACTCTAGAGCAACATCTAAAAAAGGGCAAGTTACCTGCTGTCTGATGTGAATATTCAGTAAACTGAAGATTTTTTATTCAATCGCTGTTTCAAAAATCAGAACTAAAGTGACAACATAGTAAAATATGTATCTGATTATCCCTCTTTACAAAAGCACTCTGAACTTGTTCCTAAGTTCAATCGACCTTTGTTATGATTTGATCCTTATAACTTCTTTTAAACATCATCCTTCCTCTTTGCTATGTAAATATTGCAATGGTCTTTACCATTTTAAAGCAACAAAATTCTGGCCTTTCCTAAAATATTGGTTCTCTGTGGTTATGGATGATAGGAACATAATTAGTCAAAATCCACGGAAACATTGCCCCCACCCAACCTCACAATAGCCAATAGCTCCTTCTCCAATAAGTCTTTGTTCAAAGCAGCTCACAAGAAGCATAATAAGCATGTCCAGTCTCCTTATTTTTATAGGGGAGGGTTAGAGATGGTAAATAACTTATCAAAGTCTACAGCAGGCCTCTGATTTCTCATCCTTGTGCTTTTGCCCCAAATACCAAAAAGTGACAAGGGTTGATGGACCTTTCACTTTTGCTCCCTGGCCCTGGACCTTATTCAAATAACCAGTGAGAAGTGAAGTGCCCAGATGATAAGCAAATCGCATAGTGTAGTAAAAAGAATATTGGAATCAGACAACCTGTATTTGAATCCCAGCTGTGCTACCCATGTCACAACCTTTCTGGGCTTCACTTATTCATTTATAAAATGAGAAATTTGTACTGAATGATCTCTGAAGTTTTTTCCAAGATCCTCTCCAACAGATCAAAAGGATAGGAGAAAAAAAATATTGATAAGTAGCCTGTTTACTGGCCCTTAGCAATCAAAATTCAACCATTAAACAAACTAAGTTCAAGTAACAAAGACAAACTCTGAACGGTTGCAATGGTCAATTTTGACCCCAGAGAACAAATGATGAAACATACCTTCCTCCTACTGCAAAGAGAGATGGGGGACTGTGAGTATCAAATGTTGCACACATTGTAAAACACAGTTGCTACATCACTTACTCTGGCTTAACAGTTTTTCTTTGCAAAAGAAAAAGAGAGGTAAGTGAGGGAGGGAATGAAGAAAGAAAAAGTGAGAGGGAAAGAGAGAAAGAAAGAGAGAGAAGAGAGAGAAAGAAGGTGAGAGAAACAGAGATATAAAGACAGAGAGGGACAGAGATAGAAAGAGACAGATAGACAGACAGAGACAAAGAGAGAGACAGAGAGAGAACGTGGAGGAGAAAGACAGAGAGACAGAGAAATGAAAGTTTATTTGTAAGGCTAATTCCAAATTCTTCAAAATGAGATTTCAGAAGTATATTTATTATGCTCATCTTGTTTTATGTTTATTTTTTTCCTCTGTATAAGTTACAAATTCCCAACCTTGAAGCATACTGTGTCTGGTGGTGAGACACTGTTACCTGAAGAGTTTGAGAAGTGGAAAAAAGCAACAGGCCTGGCTATCCATGAAGTGTATGGACAGTCAGAAACGGTAGGTGGGAAAATCCCTCCTCAGGCCAATGAAGGAATCACCAGCACTATCCATCAATCCATTTAATCATTCCTCTTATCATCCTTCTATTTTTATATTCATTTAGATATTGAGAGCCTAAGATAACATCCCTGACCATGGGAAGCTTGCAACCTAGGTTTTGTAACTCTGGAAAGCTGAGATATGGGTCAAATCCCATATGTACTTATAAAGAACTTTAAACTTTTCAAGTTTTCACTTCTGTTAGCTCACCTGAATCTCAACAACCAGTAGACGTAACAGTGCTTAGTAATAGTTTTGAAGTTCAACACACAAAAGATGCTCAGTAACTACTTGTTGAATAAATGAATGAGTGAAACACCAAGAGATCCAAAATCTTGCCCAATTTCACACAAATAATAAGTGACAGAATGACTGAAACCAAGTCTTCAGGTCCAGGTCTTTCTAATATACCACCACCCTGATAATTAAAACTATGCGGGTCTGACCTAGTAGGGATTTTAAAACAAAATTGCCTTCTGTGTCATTGTTATTGCTCTGCTAAAAAATAACTAGAATATTAGAAATAAGCATGAATTAAGCTCCTAATATGTGTTCAGCATTCAGAGATAACCTTGTGAATAATACAGTACTTCTTTTCTCTATGCTCTCCCACTTAGTAATCTCATCAGTTCCCATTGGTTCATTTACCATTTCTATGCAGATGACTCTCATATCTATAGATTCGACCTACGTCTCTCCTGAGCATCATCAATCCTTCATCACCAACTCCACTTCTCCATTGTAAGGCAAACCTCTCTACATGTGAAAGGAATCTCATTCCATCTCATCTCCAATAGATTTCCCTCTCTATCGTCTCCACTCTCTCTCACTTACTTTCAATCTCTCACTGTCTACTTGATGTATCTTTAATGCCCACAAACATGCCCATGTCTCCTCTACCCTCAAAACCCCTCACTTGATCTGTCCATCCCCATTAGCTATCATCACACATCTCTTTTCCCTGTCATGGCTAAATTCACTGAGAAGGCCATCTATATTCAGTGCCTCCATTTCCTTTCCTCTAATTCTCTTCTTACCTCCTGCAGTCTGTCTTCCAACTGCATCATTCATCTGAAACTGCTCTATTCAGAGCTACCAATGATCTCTTAAATATCAAATCTAATGGTCTTTTCTCAATCCTCATCCTTTACTTTTCTGCAGCCTTTGACACTGTTAGTCACTCTCTTCTTGATAACACTCTTCTCTCTAGGTTTCTGTGACACTGCTCTCTCCTAGTTTTCCTCATACCTGTCTGATTGCTCCTTCTCAGTCTCCTTTGCTGGATCTTCATCCATATCACATGTGTTAACCTGAGTGTCCTCTATATCTCTGTCCTGGGTTCTCTTTTCCCTCTACATTATTCCACTTGATGATTTCATCATCTCTCATGGATTCAATTATTATCTCTTTGCAGATTATTCTCAGATCTGTTTGTCTAGTCTTATCCTCTCTCCTGCCCTCCACTCATCTCCAACTGCATATTGAACATTTCTAACTGGATGTCTCATGAACATCTTAAATTCAACATGTCCAAAATGAAATGCATTATCTTTCCCCTAAAATCCTCCTTTCTTCCTAAATTCACGATGTCTGTTAAGGGCACCATCCTTATGCAGTTACGCAGGCTCACAACCTAGGTGTCATCCTTAATTGCGCTCTCTCTCTCTCTCTCACTTTCTCTCTCTCTTTCTCTCTCTCCCCCCATATCCAGTATATGTGAGACATACAGTTTGAGATGCTCAATGTAAGCTCCTTGAATGCAGGAATTATTGCATTTTTATCTCCAGCCTGGCACAGGGCCTGACACAGTGATGTGCAATAAATGTTTAATCTCCATGATATGATCTGATTGAAGAATACTAAGAAACTCACTATCCCCCCTCCCCCCCAAAAAAATTTTCTTCATCAACCTGTAATGATATGTTTTATATGATTTCAAGCAGCTAGATAACACAACAGAGTGTTGCACTTTGAACCAGGAAATCCTTAGACACTTATTAGCTTTGTCACCCTGGGCAAGTTGTTTAACTTCTCTCAGTCTGTTTCCTCAGCACCTACCTCCAAGGAATGTTGTAATGATTAAATGAGAGAATAATATGTAAAGTGCTTTGCAAATCTTAAACCACTGTCTCAATTCTAGTTATTAGAAGCCAAAGGGAATCTTAGAGATAAGATTATTACATACCTTAACCGCAGATTTATAGATTAGGAAGCAGGGGAAGATTCTAACATTAGAGATTAATTCTTTTGGGTTTGGTTGGTCTCAAAAGAGAATGCAAATAACCTGGGGAGAGTTCTGTTATTAATACCTGAGGGTTATTTAGCTTATCTGATCCCTCCTAAGAAGAATCAACAATTAGATAAAAGCCAAGGCTAATGGAAAGGGAGGGCAGCTAGATGATGCAGTGGATAGAGTACTGGGCCTGGAGTCAGAAAGTCTCATCTTCTTCAAAATCTGGGCTCAGATACCAGCTGTGTGAGCCTGGGCAAATCACCTAACCTTCCTTGCATTCATTTCCTCATCTGTAAAATAAGCTGTAGAAGGAAATGTCAAACCATTCCAGTATCTTTGTCAAGAAAATCCCAAATGGGGTTGTGAAGTCAGACACCACTGAAAAAAACAACTGAATAAGTTAGGAGCCTGGGGGAAAAGGAGGAGAAGCATCTCATAAAGAAAAAAAATTGAAGGGCACCAAAAATAAAAATGACCTATGAGAGATATTGATACATTTTGGAATGACATATGTCATAGGATTTAGTGGTGGAAAGGATCTTTCAAAAACATCTTTTCTGGTGCACTGATTTTTCAATGGAGGGAACTAACCATTTAGTAGATAGTAGATCTTCAGCAGATACATCTGGACTCTTTCCATTAAGTGTATTTATTTTGTTTGTTTATGGTCAACAGGGACTAACTTGTGCGGTGCCCAGGGGAATGAAGATCAAGAAAGGCTCTATAGGGATAAGTATTCCGCCCTTTGACATGCAGGTTTGTCTCTCCATTTCACTCAATGAACATTTGTTAAGTGCCTACTATGTGTGAAGTTCTATTATCAGACACTGGTAACAAAAATATACATCCATCCTCTAAAGAGTCTACATTCTTCTACACTCTTCTTCTTATCCTTACCTCAGGAACTTTTTTTAAAAACTATATTTCAATATAATTGGTTTCCTTTATAATCCTATGTACTTTATTTTATACATTTAAAACCATTCTTCTAGGATGGTTTCATAAGATTGAAGGGAGTTTGGGGGGGGGAGCAACTAAGCTTTGAAAGATTCAGAAATGGAAATGAGAAAAGAATACATTTCATTAAGAAATGAGGAGGAAGGAAGTATGATTCAGAGAAGAGAGTGTTGGATTTTGAATCAGAGGACCTGGGTTCAAATCCCACATCTGCCATCAATTATTTGGACGATGTTAGACAAATTTTACAGAACCCTCCCATTTTATAGAACATAGATCTTCTCCCACTCCCTAAAATTATTTCTATTAACTTTCTATATATTTCATATTTATTCATATGAGACCATGCTTTCCCCTCACAATAGAATGTGAGTTTCTTGAGAGCAGGAACTCTTCTTATTCTTGTATCCCCAGCACCTACTACAATGCTTGAAACATAGTAGGAGCATAATAAACGCTTGTTGAATATCAAATTCTGAATAAAGAGTTTGTGTCCACAAGTGAGTTTATCATCTTCCTCGCAAATGATTTATACCTCCCACATTCCCCATTTCCATCCACAGCTATTGTTCTAATTACCCAGCCTTAGAAACTTGGAGTCATCTTGGAATTATCCTCCCCTAAATTCCATCAGTCACCAAGTTATGTCAGTTCTTCCTTAGTAATTTTTCAATCCTATCTCTGCCACTAGCTCTGTGACCCCTAAGCAAGCCACCTGAATGAATGGAAAGTAAAAGCATTTATTTATTTATTAGACAGTCATCTAAGGTTTGGGAACACAAATACAAAAACAAGACAATCTTTATTCTTCAAGAATATTCAGGGGCAGCTCGGTGGCGCAGTGGATAGAGCACTGGCCCTAAAGTCAGGAGGACCTGAGTTCAAATCCAGCCTCAAACCAAACACTTAACACTTACTAGCTCTGCGATCCTAGGGAAGTCACTTAACCCCAATTGCCTAAAAAAAAAAAAAATCAATTCATGTTCAAATTAGGGCAAACAACACATGTAGAGGAGTGGTGGCCAAGGAAAAGTGTTTTGGTCTGGGAAATGATAGGAAATGGGAAATCTGGCAAGTGAAAATCAATGATTAACACACCCTTCCCAGAAACAATAGTAGTGTTGCTTTTATTTCAATTTTCAGACCAAGAGGAAAAGGGGGGAATGGGGTATGTGTGGGGCATAAGATGGCCAGGTTGAAGAAATATGGTCTGAGGGAGTGACAAGCTGAGTGCGTTGGCTCCTCCAGGACATGTTCTTTGGAGGTCCAGTTTGGAGAGTAGATCAGCAGCAGGTGCAAAGCAAGAGATGGCAATATGTAAAGAGTGGTCCTAAGGAATTCAGAGCTGAATTCTGACTTAACTTCATGTTTCTCAGTCCCTAGGACTTCTATCTCATATGGATCATTGATGGAGTTTTGACAATGAGAGTTCCAGACTCTAACAAACTTACATTTTCTTCACAAAATGTCCCCAATAACCACCAGTACAGTGTACATTCACCAATTCACATTTGAACTATTATTAATAGACTCCCTCCCCCTCCAGTCTCTTATCTGTCCTACCTATCATTTAGATAGATTACTCCCTTGCTCAAGAAGATATAACATAATGTATCAGACCAGATTCTAGCTCAACCTATCCTACCTTGTATTGTCAATCATATCTCTGATATTCTCCAACATGACCACTCTTTGGACCTTCTCTGGTCAGGAAGGTCTCCCCAAAGTAAATGCTTTGAATTGGCTATTCCTGCCTCTATTTTTTTCTGTGCTATTTATCCCAACATGGAATCCCTTTCCCACCTTCCATTTACTGATTTAAATCCTAACCCATCTTTCAAGACCCAGATCCAGTCTTACTTCCTCCAGATTATTCTGAATTCATTGATCTCTCCTTTCTCTGATTTTCATAAATTTTGGCAAGTGATTATAGCATTACTGCTATAAAAGAAAAATACTTTTATTGTATTTTCCTTGTTTTGTACTTCTGTTTTGTCTTCCTAGAAAATTGTAAGATTTCTGGAAGTAAAATCCATGTCTTATCTTCCTTATCAATATTCCCACAGTGTCTAGGTATATGGTGGTAGAAGATCAATAAATACTTTCTGAGTTGAATTGAATTGAAAAAGATGACCTTTAGTTACTGGACAATGCAGGCTTATTTGAAGTGAGATATGAAATAGAAAAATAAATACCTGCTTAGAGGAAGGACACATGATAACATGTAAAGAAACCTAACTTTGGATTCAGAGAACCTGGGTTCAAGTTCTTTCTCTGATACTTACCACCTGAATAACTTTGGGAAAGTCACTTTTCCTCTCCAGGTCTCAGTTTCCTCATCTGTAAAATTATGGAGGAAGTTGGGAGGTTGAACTACAAGACCCCCAATGTTCCTTTTTGCTCTAAACCCTATGATTTCTTGACATCTTTGAAACCAGCAATGGGAAAGTATAGTTAACCTATCTGTGAATCTAGTTGACCTAATTTTGAGATAAATTACAAAAGTCTTGCAAGGAAAGGATCATAGGATCATAGATTTAGATCTGAAAAGGAACTTAGAGGCCATCAAGTTTAGCCCCTTCATTTTACAAATGAGGAAATAAGACAGTCAGTGAGTGTCCTCAGGTGAAATCTAAACCTAAGACTTCCTTTTTTCCATGTCCAGTGCCCTAAGCACTATGCTATGAAACCAATTCAAAGTATATGTATATGATACTCACTATTCTAATTAAAACTAAGGAAATGGGCTTTAAAAGGTCTGAATGGGAAAATTTCCAAACACATTTTCTGATCCAGTCAGTTACTTACCTGTCCAAATTTTAATTTGGGGAGTAAGGCGGGGGGAAAATCAAGAAATCAATTGTAGTAGCAGAGTCCTATCAGTTCCTGTAATCATCACAACAGACATATGGAGTAGATTTTGCAGAAGTTATTATCCCCATTTTGAAAATGAGAAAACTAAGTCTCAGACAAGGAAGTATAATTGACAAATGACAAAGCTGGAATTGAAAACCTGATCTTCTGATGCCAAGTCCAGTGTTATTTCCGTAATAACTCAAGCAGCTAGGTGACATAGCACATGACTTGGAGTCATGTGAGTCAGAAAGTCAGGAAGATGTGAGTTCAAATCTAGCTTCAGGCACTGACTAGATTTGTGACCCTAACAAAACCATTTAACTCCTCTCTACCTCAGTTTCCTCAGCTGTAAAATGGGGATAATAAATAATGGGACCTACCTCACAGGTTTATGTGGATCATGCTAGTTATTATTATTGTTATTATTATTATTATCCCATTGCCTCTCTAATAATAGCAAGTAGGGCTAAGGCAGTATAATAATCATTTAGTTTGTCATGATAGGCATATGCACAGAGGAAATCAACCCCAGTATAGCAAAAATGTAAAGAGCAGGGTGCAAAAAGGTAGCACCATTCCAAGATGGCCCTACCTCCAGCATTTAAAAATCTCTCCTGGTTTTTAAATGATTACTGTATCTGAGCAACCAATATAACAAGACAGGGCCTCTAGTTCAGAAACAGCAACTCAGATACAGATTTGGCTCACACTGGTACTGATGCAATCTTCTTGCATATCTCTCTTAACAGTTTCTGGTTTGAATTTAACTTTGTCAGATATTATCAGCAACACTCCTGTTTTACTTGAATTAACTGTAGTATGATAAATCTTGGTACAACCTTTTAATTTCAACTCTCTGTCTTTCTGCATTAAATGTTTCCTATAAACAGAATATTGTTGAATTCTAGATGGTCTAGATTTTGGATGAGGAGGTGGGAGTCACTTCAGGGGTTGGCTTTGTGAGAAGGAAGTACATTAAAGATGACTTTGAAGTATCTATTTTTTTCTCTGAATTCTCCAAAGTATTTTTTAAATTTTAATTCAATTTTATTTTATTTTCAGTTCCAGATTCTCTCCTTCCCTCCACCCCTCTCTCACCCATTAAAAAGTTAAAGTTATTTTCTTTACTAAATAATCATCTCTTGCCACTTTCTGTTCTTCCAGATCATAGATGAGAAAGGCAATATCCTTCCCCCAGGGATAGAAGGGGACATGGCCATCAGGATCAAACCTACTAGACCCACTGGCATGTTCTCTGGCTATGTGGTAAGATCATCCCCCTTCAGTGGGAGAATTACCTACAGGTACTTTAAAGACTGTCATATGGAAGAAGAATTAGATTTGTTGCATTTGGTCCTAGAGGGCAGAATTGGGGGCAATGGGTAGAAATTGTAGAAAGGTAGAATTCAGGACAATATAAAGAACCACTTTATAATTAGTTCTGCCCAAAAGTAGAATAGGCTTCCTCAAGAGGTAGTGAGTAACCCTTAACTGGACATTTCCAAGCAGAAGTGGTTCACTCACTTGTGGGGGATATTTTAGGGAGACTGTTATTCAGGTATAGATCTGGTGTCATGACATCTACAATAGATAAATCTTCCTTCTGCTTTCATCTAAAGGTGTCATTAGTAAAAATACTGAGCAGAATAGAGCTCAGGACAGAGATATGGAAAACTCCACTGGAGGCCTTTTGCCAGGTTCAAATTAATCCATTTATCACTACTCTCACCCTTTGGGTTCATCCAATCAATCAACCAACGCCAAGTCTACCCAAATATAAGTTTATCCAGACCACATCTTTCCATTTTGTCTACAAGAAGATAGTGACACATATTGTTAAATGTCTTTGCTAAAAACTTACATCTACTGAAAAAAAAGGAAATGAAATTAGTCTCACATGAACCCATTCTGGCTCATTCCTTGATCATATTCCAACAATGGAGCTGACTGGGGAAAGTTTCTATGATCTTTTCTTTTATATTTCTCTTTGAAACACTATGAACTTTTTGTTCATAAACCTCATTGCAAGATTACTAAATGCATAGATACTTCACACTGACATGTTGTCACTTTGAATAATACCTTGGAATATAATATAATCTCCTTGCATAGCTTTCTTAATAGTTTCTGGTTTGAACTTGACTTTGTCTGATACCTTCAGTGATGTTCCTGTTTAGCTTGAGTTAAAATTAGTATGATAAATCTCAGTACAACCTTTCATTACACTCTCTGAGTCTTTCTGCATTAAACAAACACATAGGAACAACATCTTGTTCGATTCTGCTCTTCCTCTATTTTGTAACATGAGTCAGCAAGCTAGTGCAATGGATAGAGAGCTTGATCTACAATCAGTAAGACTTGTGTTCAAATCCAGTCTCAGACATTTATTACCTATGTGACCTCAAGCAAATCATTTAAGCTCTATGCCTCAGTTTCCTCAACCTTAAAATGGAGAAAATTGCTGCATCTACCTTACAGGGTTGTTATGAGGATCAAATTAGAAATATTTGTAAAGAACTTAGCACAATACCTGGAACATAGTAGGTACTGGATATATACTTATTTCCTTCCCTTATAACCCCTTTTTCTACTTATTGGTGGATTTAGTCCATTTGCATTTATCATTGCTAAACTTATCTTTTATTCTACCATTCTTTGATATTTGTCATAAAGTAACATAAACTTTCTTATTTCACTATTATTAAACAAAAATTGACAAAGTAATGCTATATTCTAATATCTTATACTATTAATTAGGTAAATCCCTTGACCTCTGGATTCCCCCTTTATCAAAGAAAAGAACAGTTTCAGATCACCTCATCCCCTCCCCTTCTATCCTTTTTTCCTTTTGTAAATCTAAGCATGTTTATAGGCTGTTGGAAAAGAGCTAATAGAGCAAATAATTAAAGATGAAAGAAAGTGATCGGGGCCGGAGGAGACAAATGGAAGGGATAGAATGGAGGACATAAGTAGCAGCCTTGGTCTTGACAAAGAAAAGTACTACCACCCTACTCAGAGATAGAAGTGAAGGAGAAGAGGGCTAGTAAAAATGTAGGGTAAGTAGTAGGGTTTGAGAGTCTGAATAGAGAGATGAGGGAGCGCATGATGGATGACCTCAATTTTATCAATAAGGTAGGAGGTGAGGATATATACTGAGAGGACAGAATCAGAGGTGAGTCTTGGAAGCTTGAGAAGAGTTGATTTAAACAACCACTGAAGGGAGTGGAATAGAGAGTCAATCAAGAGTTTTGACTTTACAGTGCTGATGGCCCAGTTGTGTAGGAAGGGACAGGAGATAGTTTAATCATAGAAGTAGATTTCAAAATTCAGCATCATGGTGATCGCACTGCTTTGCTCATTTTTTTTGAAGTACAGTCTCATTTTCTTACATGAATTTTTAGTGATTTTACTTCTGTCCAGTGAGCCATTTATGAATTGAATGTGAAGAGCCTCACTCTCTTTTAACCTCCCACACTACAGTTTTCTGCAAGCCTGAAGTAAATCCTTTAATAAGAGATTTTAGGATTTTACAAGAATGCAAGTCAAACTCAATAGACTTTAAAGAATTTACCTTCTTCTCCTTTTTTTGTAAATCAAATCATTTTCCCTTCTCCAATCCTATAGTAAGTCTCATATTCAGGTTTTCAAACCTCGGTATCGGTGACTCACATCTGCCAGTTCTTAAATCTGGAATGCCCTTAATTTGGGCCTAGGGATTTGGTAAACATTGAGACCTGGCAGGTCAAAGATTTAGAGCTACCTCAAAGGCCATCAACTCAAACTCCTCGGTTTTTACAAATAAGGGAAATGAGACCTAAAGAGGTTCAGTGACTCACTCAGGATCACCCAGCTAGTAAGTTGAATTTGAACACAGGTCTTCCTGACAACAAATTCTGGGTCCAATTCACTATACTATATTGCCTCTTCTTAAATGTCTCCACATTTATTTGTGGTTTCAATTTCCTGTTAACCATTTTGATTCTAAATTCCCAGTCTGAAGTTTGGACTCCTCAGTAAACAAATCAGAAGCAAAGTGAATCTGCCTTGTCTTTTTCATCCTTTATCATTTTTTACTGGGAGCATAATAGGATTCCTCTCTTTTATCTGATAACCCTATTCCCTCCAACGTACATTTTTATAATTCCTTTTTACATAAAAGGAACATAAATATATGTAACAAAAACCTTAATAAACCCCATAAGTTCTAAGGATCATTATCCCATCTCCCCTATTTGCAGACAAATCTGGTGCCTGAGCAAGGCAATATTTCCCTCTTAGAAGTCAGGAGGATTCTTCCTTAATACGCTTACCTTGATTCCCCATACCAATATGTTCTATTCAATGTTAACCACTAGTGATTAGTGCCCCAGTACCCTTTAACCAAAGAATATCAGTTAGCTTTTACTGTAAAAACATAGCAAGAATAAAAATTACAAAGCATTTCTCCCTAACATCTGGGGATATACTCTCCCCATACCACCTCTGCCTCTGGGGAATGTGGACTCAAACTAAAGGCAGCTTCTTTATAGTATTTTCCCCCAGCAAGTTCCCTTTCTAATTTGATATAAGCAATGGATGAATTACTGTTGATCCCTCTGGGCTGTCTTCCATCTACACTGACTCAAATAAGTTGCTTGAGACTTCACCCCTCCTTCTCTGGCTTCCGGCAAATTCCATCATGGATTTCATCTCCCCAGCCTCTAGTGTTGCTTTTCTGGCTTTCCAAAGCTCAAGAGTCATCTCCAATGCAAACAGAGACCAAGAAGAGAGGCTTCTCTTCATAGGTCACAGGTAGGTCTCAGGCAGGGAAAGAGGAGGCCCAAAGCCTCTCCCCATCCAGAGGTTTACACACAGCATGTGCCTCCCTCAAATCCAACAAGTCAAGAAAAATTCTTTGGTCAGTTATTGTCTTTTGAATGCACCCCCAGTTCTGGCTCAGCAGCCAATCTGAAGTTTATCCCTTCACCACATGATAGATGACTGGAATCAGTTATAAAATGTGTGCACATGTGCCAAATAGGGGAGCAGTATCCTCTCTTTACACATCATGACTTTCTAGAACAAGATCGCCCCTTCCAAGCAGACTGGCTACATGCTCTAAGGATGGACCCCCACTTTACATTCTCATTCTGAGCTAGAGATAGAGATAAAAGTGTCCTCAGAGGCCATCTAACCCAACTCCATTATTTTACAAATAAGGAAACTGAGGCCCAAGGACATTTTAATGACTTGACCAAGATCTCAGAAGTAGTAAGTACCAGAGACAAGACTGGAACCTATGACCTTGATCACCTGGGGCTATGCTCATTTCCACTCTATCTCACTGCACTGCAAGTCTCACATCCATTTAGGACTTTGGTGATCCTAATATTATTGTCATTTGAATCCTTATTTACCTGCCCCTATTTCAGCTGTCTATACATATCTTTTTAAATTATGAAGTCATCAATGATTTTCCTAAGGATCAAATGAAATCCTCACAACAGCCCTTTCAGATATGCAAGGCAGGGTTTATTATCCCCATTGTATAGATGAGAAAATTGTCCAAAACTATTAAGCATCTAAGGCAAAAATTAAACATAGACTTATGACTCTCCAGGGCCAGACTACCTCTCTAATGATAGGGGCTGATACAAAAGTCATTTTAGTGGATGGACCCAGGAAAGTATGATTTTTTTTTGGTTTGTTTTTGCTAGGCAATGGGGTTAAGTGACTTGCCCAAGGTCACACAGCTAATAAGGGTCAAGAGTCTGGTTTGAGACCGGATTTGAACTCAGGTCCTCCTGAACTCCAAGGCTGGCACTCTATCTACTGTGCTACCTAGCTACCCCTTTATTGTTGTTATTGGAGGGGACTCTTTTTTTTTTTTATCCTCTACTTTTTTTTGTTTTGTTTTGTTTTGGGGTTAGGCAATGGGGTTAAGTGACTTGCCCAGGGTCACACAGCTAGTAAGTGTTATGTGTCTGAGGCCGGATTTGAACTCAGGTCCTCCTGACTCCAGGGTTGGTGCTCTATCCACTGCACCACCTAGCTGCCCTGAAAGTATGATCTTTTAATCTTCAGCTCAAGACTCCCAAATGGAGAACAGGCAGCATGACTTAATCTAATCATTTTTGTACCCTAAGTACTTAGTATAGTGTTTATAAAGTAATAGGTGCCCAAAAAATAATTGTTATTGATGATGAAACACCAAGGCATTCCAGGCAATGATTAAAAGAAGCCCTAACTTTAATAATCAATCCAGGGTGAGAGTTAAACCATTGTCCTAGAATAATGCTGTCAAACTTGAAAAGAAATGGATCCCTGAAGGTCACATATCAACTTAGAAAATTAAAAATTGACATTATCTATGCTGTATCATATTTGTATCTATTTTGTCAAACATTTCACAATTCCATTTCAATCTGGTTCAGGCAGCAGAACTCCCTCCTGCGTATGGCCTCCAGGGTTTACAATTTAGCACCTGTGCATCAAGATTAATACCTGTTTTCGACTCTTCACCAAAAGCATTACAGAACTCGGGTGGAGAAAAAGTTGTCCAACCAGTTCATATTAGGATGGGTACTCCTTTTCCAATGCCAAATTAGTGATGAGAGAAGAGTAATATTCTGAAAAGTCAGTTGGCTAGAGCATGGTGCCAACGAGAACCAGGGTTTAGAACTGGATGGTATTTCAGAGGCCATTGAGTCCAACCCTCTCGTTTTACAAATGAAGAAACTTACGAGAGGTTGAGTAACCTTCCCAAGATCACACAAGTAGTGAGTGTCTAAATCAGGAAAGTAACTAAGTTGACCACAGTTCTTGTGCCCCATCCATTATGCCCTGCTGTTTCTCAAAAGGGATGGACTCTAGCTCCAAACAGCTAAGTAGACTAACTGTTGGAAAATTTTGATCCACAGTCAGACTACATCTCAGACATGTCAGCCTTCCTGAAAGTGTATCCTGTTGATCATTCAAAGGACTGCCTCAGTTCCACCCATCCCCATTACTGAAAAAAACCCCATGAGCCTCTGACAAACTACCAGCAAAGTGGTAGCATCTTCTTTCTATGCAAAGGACAGATTCCTTTGTGATTTAATTAGTGGAATTAGATTTAATTAAAATTATATTAATTTAATTAATATAAATTATATTTAATTAAATAAATTTAAATTAAATAATATAAATTAATTAGGCAATTATATAAATATAAAATTAAATTAATTTAAATTAGATGGCAAAAACATATAATGGAATGGGAAGTGCACTTAAGACACCCAGTCTTAAGTATTAAAGGATCTTACAGTCTAATACTATAGGGAGAGCAGGACCACTGAGGAGCTATCCACCAAATGAACATTTTAAGCTTTAAAACTACACTAAGACTCCTGGGATATGTTGTATAATGCCCAAGCAGAAGTAATGTATACAGAGAGTTGACCTTGGAGTCAGGAAGGCCTGGATTCAAGTCCTACCTCAGATATCTCTTGCCTGTGTGACCCCAGGTAAATCATTTAACCTTTTAGTGCTCCTCGAACAACTCTTTAAAATTATAGGTTGCAAAAAAATAAAATAAAATGAAATGAAATGAAATTATAGGTTGCAGAGAAACTGACAATCTAAATCAGAGAAGGACATTTCCTTGCCAGGAGTTTCCTACCCAAATGAAGTCATGGGTCCAATTTTTTTTTTTAATGTCCAAGGTACTTATAGGAGAAAGGAGTGACTCAGGGAATTAGCAAACTGTCTGCAGAATGGATGAGTATCTTTACAACGAATCAATCCTCTCCCAATGTTAAATCACTTTCCAAAAAATGTTTTTTTCCACTCAGGACAATCCAGAGAAGACTTTGTCATCAGAACGCGGTGACTTTTACATCACAGGTGACAGAGGCAGTGTAGATGAAGACGGCTATTTATGGTTCCTTGGTCGAACTGATGACATCATTAATGCTTCAGGGTAGGCTGTTTGCTGGGGGCTTTCATGTTTCACAGTTACAGCCTTACCAGTTCCTAAGCATATGTGCTAGAGTCAAGGTCATATCTATATGGTGTGAGACTTGGATTTACCCTTAAATGCTAAGGGGCACGGACCAAAGGCTATTTCAGGAGGATTGTGGGGATGCAGGGCTGTTTCTAGAGAACTACAAAGCATGGTACATATTATACCATATGGATTCCCCTGCAAAGTTTTTTTTATCACAATAAAACCAGATTAAAATGGACATCACTTGCCCTTTTGAAGAGGAAAAAAAAGTCACATAATGAACACATAAGGAAAGGTAGTCCTTCTTATTAGGGGCTTACTAATGTGATTTTATCTGTATAAATCTTTATTTGTATAAATGTATTTGTATAAAGGTTTTGCTTTTTTAGCAATAACTGGTCCAAGCCATCCCTTTCCCCTCCCTGCCCCTACTAGATGCCTCCCTGAAACACTGCCCAACCACTAAAACATAGGACTTCACAAAGTGCAGAGCTCAAGACAATCTATCCCATCAGTCCCTTGTCCAAGGGAGTAGAGAGGTCCAGCACCATGGAGGGAGTCAGTCATTGTCTTAGGGTAGAAATGCTTCTCCAAAGTCACATAGAGGGGAGATTTAAAGGAAGAAGGGAATTTGAAGGGCAGCAAAGGGAAGGTTATCAGACTAGAGCTGATATATGATCCCACTATGCAGGTACACACAATATTGTCCAGTGGGACAGTTGTTGGGATGCTGCGTTTTCTGACATGGTTGTAGGGACAAAAGCCTTAGAGTCTCTGAAAGCCCATTTCCTCCTTCAGGTACCGGATTGGTCCCTCTGAAGTTGAAAATGCTCTGGCAGAACACCCAGCTGTGGCAGAATCAGCAGTCATTGGCAGCCAAGACCCACTCCGAGGAGAGGTGAGGAAAAAGCCAAGACATAGTGAGTCCATAGAAGGCTATAATGTATGTCTTAAAAATTATTAACTTGGAAGTCAGGATTTCCAAGCCAAATCAGCCTTGGTAAATCCAAGAGTGATGGGGGAAAAATGGCTATGAGTAGGTTCCCCCATGTGGCCAGAAGGCAATACTGCATTTTAAATGATTTTTTTTTTTTCTCCTCTAGTCTAGTGCATCTATGGGTACTTAGTGAACATTTGCTATGTAACTAACACTGGGCTAGGAGTTATAGAGGAGACATAATATGTATAAGACACAGCTTCCGCCTTTGCAGAACTTGCAACCTAGATAGATTTAACCTACCTATGACTATCTGAGAACAACAAAGTACTAGAAGGAAAAGGAGTTTAGAGAATAATTGTATTAATAATGGTTATAATAATTCACATTTATATAACACCTTCAGGTTTGTTAACTTCTTCTTCTTCCAAACAAGGTCAAGGTCACACAAATGATAATTGGAAATTCATTTAACACTTTCTCAAACCATTCAGCCAGTAAAAGCTAGAGCCAAGAGAGATCATAGAATTTCAAAGCTGGAAAGGACCTCCCAGAGCATTGTGGGCTGAAACAGTCCAGGAGGGACTCAAGGAGGAGACAGAACTTTTGCTAAACTTGAGGGTAGGCATAATTTAACAATAGCTAACATTTGCAAAGTGCTTTCATATTTGCAAAGCTCTTTTACATGTATTATCTCATATGATCCTCAAAACAACCTTGTTTTAGTTTAGACAATGGTGTCTATTTAAATTTTTATAGTTACAAAGTACATATATTATTCATTTGATTCTCGCAACCCTATGAGGTAGGCAGTACAAGCATTATAATTCCCATTTTACAGGTGAGGAAACTGAGGCACAGAGAGATGAAATGAATTGCCCAACATTGAATTACTAGTAACTGGTGGAGCTAGAACTCAGATCAAGATCTCCTGAAACCCAGTCCAATACTGTTTCCATACCCAGTGTGTTTCAAGAATGAATGAATTGATTAATTAACTAACTTTAATATCTGCCTAAGTAAAATATAATGAAGATAAGTGCAATTCATTCTAAAGCTAAAAGGAAATATTTTGTAGGTTTGCCCTCACCACAGCACTCCCATCTGTTAGCGTGGTTACCAGATTTGCATCCAGCACATTCGTCCCACACAGGTGCTCAGAAAATCTTAAAGTTGGATGGACTTTAACAGACACTTCCTGTAGCTCCCCACCCTGGTAGAAATATATATAACACTCTCTATAACACCTTTGGCAAATTGTTATCCAGCCTCCCCTCAAAGAAGGGAGGTAGCAGGACTTATATTGAAATCCCAGCTCCTTCTGCCCCAGCTTATTACTTTGTGAGCAAATTACTTCATCTCTCTGGGCCTTGGTGACCTCATATTTAGAAATAAGAAATAAGACTTGATTAAATGATCTATAATGTCCCTCCCAGTTCTTAATCTATGATCTTATAAACTCAGACAAAGTTCTATTTTTGGTACTGGCCTATGTCAAGCACGGGATCTGAGGACCATCACAGCCACAATGCTCCTAAGTACAGCCCAAGCCAAATTAAAATGTAATCAAGAAATATCTCACAACATAAATAAAAATACAATAGAGCATAGATAATGTTAGTACGTGGTTTTCTGAGTCAATGTGCAGATGTAGGCATCCTTATGTACAGTTTAGTGGCCCTACTTCTATTTGAGTTTGATACCACTGATCTAGGGAACCCCTTTCATGGAAATTCTTTTCAAGGATGTAAATTGACAACTGGTCTGCAACAGAGTCTTTGAGAATTACCTTGGTTATAGAGAGATTAAGTGACTTATCCATGGTGCCACAGCTAGGGTGTGTGAGAGGGAGAATTTGACCCCTGTCCTTCCTGACTAACACCATCATTCTGTTGTTAAAGAGTTTTAATTATTCACAAGTTATTTGTTATGTTGAGCCATTTTCTCTGCCTCCCTATACCATCCTCCCATTGGGCCCAGTTTTGCTCTCTGAAGTCACATGGAATAAGTCCAATCTTTCTTCCACATGACTGCTCTCTAAATATTTGAAGGCAGTGAAGATGTCCTTCCAAGTCTTCTCTCTTTCAGGCTATCCCAAGTTCCTTCAACTATTTTCTTATGACCTAGTTTCCAGGCCCTGCAGCATCCCAGTCACCCTCTCCAGAACACATTCCATTAGAGTAATGCCCTTCTTAAAATGTGTCATCCAGAACTGGACTCAAGGTAAATTCTAGATGTGGTCCCAGAACAGAAGGTAATGTGACCATTGTCTCCGTTGATTGGCACACTGTGCTTGTATTCATTTGGCCTAAGATTTTATTAATATTTTTGACAACTGAATTATACTGTTGGCTCATTTTCAGCAAATGAATTAGTGATTTGACTGCAGCCAGAGCTAAAAATGGACTATATTAACCATACTTGACTATACAACTCCCAGGGGTGATCTAACAGTTGTCCATCTCAACTCTTGTCTGTGCCTATAATCATACTTATTGTCTCCACACTTTTAAGAAATACAAAAAGATTTAGGGGCACAATGATGGGTTGTATAATAATAATCCCTTACATTTTTTATTTGAGGTAATCAGGGTTAAGTGACTTACCCAGGGTCATACCGCTAGTAAATGTCGGAGGCCGGATTATGAACTCAGGTCTATCCTGACTTCAGAGCTGGAGCTCTATTCACTGAGCTACCCTAATCTGTTACATTTGTATGGCACTGTATAGTTTAAGTTTTCTAAGAGGCAATGTGGAAGAGTAGATAGAGATCTACCCTTTGTCAGGAAGACCTGGATTCATAACCCATGGACAAGTCTCAGTGCCTCAGGAATTTCTGTAAGATTATAATTTCAAATGACTTGTCAGTCTGCATTGGTAGAGGGAGTTTCCATATCAGAAGTTAACCTCCATTCCCCCTTTCATGGAAAAAAAAATGCTTTCATATCTATCATATAATTCAGGTGAATCTCACAAAAGCCTTGTGAACTAAACAAAGCACAGATCACCCCCATTTTTCAGGTAATATGGAATCAGAGGACAAGGGTTCAAATCCCGCCTTTGATGTTTGCTACCTATGGGACCTTGGGCAAGTCATTTGACCATGGTCTCTGAGGTTTTTTCTGCCTCTAAATCTGTGATCCTGTGACATAGCAGGATTCAATTGAGAAATCACTTTACCCCCATTCCCCTATGAAAAAGATGATGCAGTTATTACTGTCTTTTGAGGTTCAGAAAAATGGCATGTTCTGCTAAGGTCACAAAAATAGTTAGCTAAGACTAGGAACCAGATCTTCTGATTCCTGGTGTCTCTTCATTAGATTGTGAGCTTCTTGAAGGCAGATACTGGCTTTTTATATCCTCAGCCATTAACACAGTATCTGACACATAATAAGAGTTTAATAAATGTTTATTGACTGACCAACTGACCTCTTTAGCAACTCTATAGTTCTCTGCACACAGATCTTCCTTATTCTGGCCCCTAACTGAGATGCATGGCCTATGTTACACTTTTCCCATCTGTCCACAAGTCACCCCTGATCTGCTCCAATCCTTTAGGTGGTGAAAGCATTTGTGGTCCTGACCCCGGAGTTTAGGTCCCATGACCCTGATCAGCTGACTCGGGAGCTGCAGCAGCACGTTAAGAATATTACTGCCCCCTACAAGTACCCCAGGAAGGTAAGGTCAGGATGGGAGTGGGGGTGGAGGAGGGTATAACCCTTTCTCACCATCCAGTCTGTCTGAAGTCCAATTTAGTGACCCTCTGAGGAAATTTGGACTGCTACCTGTACTGGCCTTCCGTTTTTGTCAAAACTGTGTGGCCAAGGGAGGGAGCATGGGGGGAGTTCATTTATCAGAGAGAAGTTTTCATTAATGTAATTCTCCAGCACATCAGAATCCCATATTGGGCAATTCTACAAAGATACTTAGATGTAGCAAAACTGGGCTTAGAATCTCAGAATGTGAGAGTCAAAAAGGACCTTAGAGAGCATTTAATCCAAACCCCTCATTTTGTACATGGGGAAACTGAAGACAAGAATGGTTATATGATTTGTCCAAGATCACACAGCGAGTTCATGGTGGAGCCTGAAGTAGTTTACATTTACTAGTGTGTGACCCTGGGCAAGTCACTTCACCCTGTTCGCCTGAGTTCTTCATCTGTAAAAATGAGCTGGAGAAGGAAACGGCAAACCACTCTAGAATCTTTGCCTGGAAAATGCCAAATGGGGTCACGAAGGGTCAGACACAGCTGAACAACAACGTGGCAATTCAGTCAATATGGCTTAAATGCTATAGAAAGGTTGCCTTCAAACAAGCAATGATATTCCATCATTACCTTGTTTTCCTCTGACTCACTTAGTAGAAGGACAGACATTCTCAGCTAATTCTCTGTTAGGTCTAGGATCGAAGTCACACTTGAAAGCTTGGGAAGTGATAGAGAGTTTGAGGTGTGGGGGACTAGAGAAGAGTTGAGAGAGAGAAAAAAAGATCTAAAATTTGTTATCTTCCTTGTGTTCTCTTAACTTCTTGGTAGAGGAGAAGAGGGAAGGAAGAAAGGAAGGGAGAAAAAGGAAGAAGGAAGAGAGGGCCTAGGGATGCTGTTCGAGAGTACTGTACTTAGAAACTAACATTCAAATCCTCTCTGACCCTAGCTGGGTGACCCTGGCAACTCACATCACTCTGTAAGCCTCATGGTTTGCAGTTTAGTTTCATAGACAGAACTGGAAGGGACCTTAGAAGCTTAACTGTACCTCTAACCTAACCCTGACATTTGATAGATGAGGACACTAGCTACTCATAAGGCTGTTGTGAGGAAAGTGTTTTGTAAACCTCAAAGTGCTATGTCAATGTGAGATGGTGATATTTGCTATTATGCACATTCTTCATCAACTTTGTCAGTTCAATTTACTGAAGGAGATTTGGTGGGAAATCCAGATACTTAATCTGGAAGGATTTTGTCTTTTCCTGATCAGGTGGAGTTTGTCCCAGCCCTGCCCAAAACCATCACAGGGAAGATCAAGAGGAGCGAACTCCAGAAAAATGAAAAGAGGCGAAATCTGTGATCTACTTCTGGGCTCCATCTCAATCCGTTGGAACCTGTGTCTCTCTTAAGTGAAGTCTTTGTCAGTTACATGCAAGCATTTAAGCAATATTAGGCTGGAATAAAAGAGATCAGGGCAATTGTTCTCTTCCCGGCTTTACAATTGACCATAAAAATTCATTTCCAGTTGTGATTGTGAGTATGCCACAGAATGAAACTCCCAAAGTTATCTTTAGTTGATCATAATAGCAGTTAGGCAGCAAAGCGGATAGAGTGCTGATCCTGGAGTCAGGAAGACTCATCTTCCTGAGTTCAAATCTGTCCTCAGACACTTACTAGCTGTGTGACCCTGAGTAAGTCACTTAACCTTATTTGCCTCAATTTCCTCATCTGTAAAATGAGAAGGAAATGGCAAATCTCTCCAGTTTCTTTGCCAAGAAAACCCCAAATGAGGTCTTGAAGAGTCGGACACGACTAAATAAGAACAACAGAACCAGTTTAAAAAAACATTATTTGGATCTTTGAAAGGGATTTCATTATTAGGTCACAATTTAACCACATCAACAGAACCTAACTCTCTATTCCTGCCTAACTGACCAATTAGCCATTCCTCAAACTCAGTATTGCATCTCCTGCCTTTATGTTTTTGTCCAGCCTATTGTCCCCATGCTTTGGATGCATACCCTCCTCTCCTCTTTGCCTTAGAATCCTTAGCTCCTTTAGAGTTCAGCTCAAGCACCACCTCCTACTTAAAGCCTTTCTTGATCTCCTGAGTCCTCTATCCCTCCTCAAATAATCTTGCATTTGCTAAAGTGTTTTCATGTTGTATCCCTTAGAGCCCTGTAAGATCTTTGGGGCAAAGACCTTTTGGTTTTTGTAGACCCAGTGCCCGGTACTTAATAAATGTTGAATTGAATTAGGGTTTGGGCACCTGGTGGGGGTGTCCAGTGTAATGATAACACTGGATGTGTTGGTATTCATAAGATTATGGATACAGAGCTGGAAGAGACCCCAGATGCCATCTGGTTCAACCCCCTATTTTTGCAGATGAGGAAACAGGCCCAGAGAAGCTAAGCAATTTGTCCTAAGTCACAAAAGGAGTGCTAGAGGCAGAATTTGAATTCAGAACATCTGATTCCGGAGTCAATGAGCTTTCTACTATGCCACACTGCCTCTTAGTTGCTGAATTATCAGGCCACAGTTCTCCCAAGTTTCCTAGTGTAAATTTCTATTGACTGGCATCTGATTTTCCACATGAAGTCAAAGTTCATCACTCTCTTGCCTTAGTGCCTAATTCCTGACTTCGAGCTGGTTGGACCCTTTTCTCTATAATACTCAAGAGCCTCCATTCCATTCCTTACTTGTGATAATGTTTGATGTACAATTCGGAAAAAAAATCATCCCAGAAAGAGACTTTGCTCCTTTTGTCCCTTTAGCTCCATCAACATATTTGCTAGATTTAGATCATTCCCTTGACTCAGCCAAGCAGGGTCAAGGGTCTTGACAAATAATTTTGTTAAGTCAATATTTTATTGGTGCATTTTAATATATTTACCTCACTTGGAATCATACATTTTGAGCTGAAAGATACCTAAGAAGGTATCTAGTCCAACACACCCATTTATAATGAGAAAACTGAGGCCCAAAGAGGTTAAAGACTTGACGTAATATCACAAAGGCGGTAAACAGAAGAGAGAAAGTGGGAACTTGCCAAATGCACACATACTGCACAACCACCTCCACCACCAGAAGCCCCCTTTGTAACAAAGAATTGCATTTAAGAACTAATCAGCACACTTGCCATTCCTGACAATGTATTCCTCAGTCTACACCTGTAGTCCTCCAATTCTCTGCCAAAAGGAGGGAGATATGCTTCACCATCAATCCTTTGAAGGCATGACTGGTCGCCATATGGATCAAAATTCTAATGTCTTTCAGTGTTGTTTTTCTTTATGTTATTGAAGGAATCGTATGCAAGGCTATTTACATTATTAAGGTAATTGTATATACTGTTTTCCTGGTTCTAAGTATGTCATTTCATGTCTTCCCAAGTTTCTCTGAATTCTTAAATTATTAATACATTAACATAACATAACACAGTTATTTGCATGTCACCTCCCCCATTAGATTACCCTCAGGGGTAGGTACCATCTTTTACCTTTCTTTGTATACCCAGTACTTAGCATAGTGCTTGGCATATAGTAGGTGCTTAATAAATGCTTGTTGACTAACAACTAGATTTTAAAGTCCAAGTTAAATGTCATCTCCTTCTTGAATCTGCCTGAGTCAGAAGTCATCTTTCTCTTCTACCTCTGGTTATTCTTTTTACCTCTTTTAGAATGCTATATAAATGTTAATTCACATGATGGTCATTGTTTTGTTGACCTTTTCAGAGAAAGAGTACATTTATGTCTTAGGTCTAAACAATGCCATTCTTATAGTATAGTAAGCCATTAAGACTTCGGATAATCTCTCCAAAAACCTTCAGTTGCTCTAAGTGGAATTGTGCTAAAAAGAGGTGAATCAAACCCAATTTCTAGTAAACAGACCTGAAACCAGCAGGATCTTGGCCCTGGATTTTTGGAGCCACAAATAAGTATAGAGCCAGGTTCCAGTAGGTCACTGGGCACAGTGTGGGCACTGTGTGCCCACAAACAGTGTGTGTACATGTTAGGGCCCTCAAAGAAGCCACAAACCAGCATTCCTTTTGAAACCAAATCCAGAGACAGGGCTGGCTCCTGATGGGTGCCAACTTATCTGTGGGGGGAGGGGGTGAATTGGCCCTAACACAAAGTTGCTATCTGGGAATAGAGAATAAAGACATACAATGAAGAAAGCTTTGAATACAGTGACAAAATATTCTAGGTTAAGAAAAGTTCAAAGACATCAGAAAAGATCAGAGTAACTATACAAAAGGTACAAATAGGGCTTCCAAAAGAGAGAGAGAAAGAGAGAGACAGAGAGAGAGAGAGAGAGAGAGGCTTGGCCATAAGAACTAAAGCTGAAAAGTGAAAGTAAAGCTTTTGAGGGAAAAAAAGTGGAAGGAGAAGAAATGGCTTTGAACAAAAAATAGAAAATCTTGCCCAAATACCATACTCCCTGAAAAATTGAATAAAACAAATAAAATTCAATAATTCCACAAAAGAATAAAAAACATTAGGACAAAGTCAGAAAACTGGAATTTTGGTTATATATGTGTCATGGCCGCTACAGTGGTGAACGTGAGACCAGCTCAATGCTCAGTGACCTGGAGACGCATGGACGAGGCGGGAAACAACAAGATGGCAGAAGCTCCTGTTTATTGTTAGCTGGGTGTGACCTTTATAGCCCTCAAGGCACTTTGGAATCGAGTGATCAGAGCCCGACAGCCAGTCAGTAGATCCTATCATAGCATGCAGGCCTCGTGTCAGGGACATGCACAGGATGTGCACGGGAACGCTTAGCCATTCAGAGGAGAGCCGAACCAGCCATGATTGCTGCGTGTCCACAGAGGAGAGGTCAGTTAAGACTTCCTTGCTTTCACACAACAGACTGTGACCCTCAACTTCCTGCTAAGAAGCCAGGACTCCGATAGGCAGGGCGCAGCCCCGTGACAGTTCCTGTGACATATATGTACAGTATATTTCATTTTTTAAAAAATGACCATGAAACAGGTTAAAAAGATATCACTTAGAATTCATCAGACTCTGTGAAAACAATAATCCAACCAAAAAAATGGATACTACATTTTAAGAAATCTTAAAAGAATCTTGCCCAGATCTATCTAGAGGCAAAGTAAAAATAGAAAGAAATCATTGGTCACATCCTGAAAGAAACCCCAAGATGAGAACTCCCAGAAATGCCATAGCCAAAATCTTCAAATTAAAGACAAAATGCTGCAAGCATACAGAAAGAAATTAAGTATCAAGCAACTCCAATCAGAATCACAAAAACCTATGCTGCAACTAATATAGAAATCCTGGAAACCAATATTGTCAAAGGCAAAAGAAAAAAGACTTACAACCAAAATAACCTATTCATAAAACTGGGTATTATAGAATAAAATGATGAATTAGCCAATTTCTCTGGATCTTTTAAGTTTTCAATCCTCAAAAAAAAAAGGGGGTTGATGGGAATTAAGCAAATGTAGAATAAAATAACTAAATTAAGATAACTACTTGGTGTGGTGGATAGAACACTGGGCCTGAAGTCAGGAAGATCTGAGTTCAAATCCAGCCTCAGATACTTACTAGTATTGTAACCCTGGCTACAATACAATTATAGGCTTCAAAGCCTTCAAAGGTTTCCTTCCAACAAACTATTCTACATTTGTTACATGAAAATGGTCTTATCTTCTTAGCTACATTCCAGGCTCCTTCAAGACATTAACTATATCATCCACTTCTCTCACCTTCCAACATCCAACACAGTGCTGAGCACCTAGGAGAAAAATGAATACTTACTGATCTGATGCAACTTGACTACAGCTGAGAAGTTCTCTGTGTGGAAGACAAACATAAACCTATAATTGGTTACAATTGTAACCTAACATCTATCTTCTTCACTTTTCTGAACTGTAAAATGGAGATAATAACAGCACCTAATAGAGCTGTTGTGAGGGTCAAATGAGATAATATTTGAAAAGTTCTTAACACAGTACTTTTAAAATGTTTGTTGATTTCCCCTCTCCCCAAATCCAGAGAACTAAGAAGACACAATCTAGATAAGGTAAAAACTCTTATTAACTAGCACTGGAGAACTCTAATTCTTAAAGGGTTCACTCAGCACTCCTACCCCAACCAGCTTCTTACATGCTCATAACAGGAACACAAACTACCCTCAAGGCTTGTGCCTAGGACTTATTTTGGGCTCCCCTCTCCCACCTCCACTGCAGATACTCTACCAAAACCCATCCCCACCCCACCCTGATCAGCCACATGCAACTGAGGAGGAAGAGAGCATTGTAATGGTTTGACCTTCTTACTGTCTAACCTTAGGATAGGGATCCACAAGGCTGTACAGACTATGCCCTCATACCCTCCCCACCTTCCCTCCATTTGGTAAAAAAAAAAAAAAAAGTATCAGATGTTGATTCAAATCAAGTCAAAAGAAAGAGAGGAGAACAAAGAAGAATAAACTAACATAAAGTGGGGAGTAAAGGAATTGGCCATCTTAAGAGTC